CTGGATGTGGCCAGGTGGGGAGAGATGGAGCTACAGAAGCACCACGTGGGCCCCTCTGGAGGGGTGAGGACCATCTCTGCACCATTGCATCCACCTGATGCCTGTGGTCCTGAGGATGCCATGTGGGTCCTAGGATCCTTGCGATGCTCCATGCGTCCTAGGGGTTGGTCTGTGGATCTTGGGATGCTTCGTGGATACTGGGGCTGCTCCATGGGATGTTTTGTGGATCCCAGTGATGCTCTGTGGCTGTTGGTGATGTTCTGTGTGCGCTGGCAGTGCCCTGCAGAAGGTGGAAAGAAGGTGCAGGTGCACCCGGTGTTGCTTGAAGGAGGATGTGACAAGGAGCAGAGCTGGGCTGAGGAGAAGGTCTGTGTGTGATGACAGCCCCAGCTGGGCCACCTCAGCCCAGCACCCATCTGGGGGTGATGCCTGAGCCAGGGAGCTGCAATGGGCACCCAGTGGAGAAGCCACCGGGGCCACCACAACCACCGCCAGGAAGGAACGGAAAGTGAAAGTCCGTGGCCGCTCCTCCGGGCTGGCTGTTGCCATGGCGACCCGAACAAAGCCTCTTCTCCCTCTTTTGGGTTTAATTGTGTGGGTCCTCAGCCCCTTTGTTAATTGTTTCCCCTTCTGGTTCGGGGGATGCGCCTCTGCCTGCTGAGCTGCTGTGGGGTCTGCGGGGCGGCCGGGGGCCATTCCTGCTATGGGACAGGATGGGGGGCTTTGGGAGGGTCGGGGGGCAGCGGATGGGGGAGCTGCCTTTGCCTCCCACTCTGCTGCAGGTCTGCAGCTCACTGCACAGCTCCACGTGCATTGCAGGGCTCAGTTTCTCCATCTGTAAAACGGGAACGTAGGAGGATGCAGAAGCTCTTTGACATGCGGGGTTCTACTTTTGCTTCCAGACGCTCCCGTGCTTTGTGTTTAATGTTCTGGGTTGATGCCAGGAGCTCTCCCAGGTCACTCCTGACCTCACTTTTCCCTCTGCGTTGTGCTCACAGTGAAGCTGCAGCTCAGCACATTTCTTTACTCCTTTCCCTGCAACGGTGATGGAGAGGTTTCCCATGGTGAGGGGTGGACATGGGGTGTTGGGGGTCCAATCCCCCCCCGGAAAGCCCATTTTCCAGTTGTACGGAGTGGGAGGAAGTCCCCTGAGCTGCGGTGTCATGCTCCTGGGGCTGGATGAAAACAAAGCTTGAAAACAAAAAAAGAAATTCCCATGGAAGAAAACGACGGTGTGGGGGGAGGAAGTGGCTTCGAGTCAATGGGAATTTTCCCTGTTGGCAAAACGTAAACAGTCCTCCTTCGATGTTGACATAACATTTTAAAGATCTCATTCTGCAAAGCAGAGCGTTTGTCAACACGTGTGTGCCCCAACCAGCCCTGCGCTCCCAGCGTAGCCGCGACCCTCCGCCTTTCATTCCTGGCCGTGGGACGCGGGGTGCGGGCAGGGGTCTCCCAAACTCTGCTCAAGTCCTTGGGGGGTTCCTCCGCCCCCCACCGCCACGAGTCCGGGACGGAGCAGAAGCGGCGTCCCGCGTGGGTCCCCCGTCGGGGCAAAGCAGGGGGTCCCGAGGGGAGGGGACGGGGCAGAGGGGCCGCCCCTCAGCCGGCTGCTGGTTTGCTGGGCCCTCCTCCTCCACCTCCTCCTCCTCCTCCTCCCCTCCTCCCCGCTCCCTCTCTCCGCCCGGCGCCGGGGCAGCTCCCAGCGGAGGCGCCGGGGACATGGAGCGGACCTGAGCCGTGCGAGAGGCGGCGGAGCCCGCACCGGGAGCGGCACCGGAGTGGGACCGGGAGCGGGACCCGGGCGCAGCGCTGCAGCGCGGCGGAGCAGTGAGTGCGGGCGGAACAGGGAGCGGGGCAGAGGCACGGCCATGTGGGGCACTGCGTGGGGGGAGAGAAGAGGGGAGGGCACGGACGCGGCTCTGGGGGCGCTGAGCAGCGTCCCGGGTCGTGGTGCCCCCAACCCCGGCTGTGCGGCCGCATGGCAGAACCCCGCCACCCCTTTGCTTAAACGAAATGGGAAAGGGGGAAAGCGGAGCTCCGCGTCCTTCCCCGCGCGGCCCCAGTCCTGTTACAAACTTATGGGGCTGCGAACTCCTCCGAGAGCAGCGCCGGGGAGAGCGAGAGCGCGGCAGGGAAGGAGTTAATCCGTGGCACCCTCCCCCCTCCGCTTCGTGTTCAGTGTGATCCCAATGCAGCCCCTTCCTTAGGACCCCCAGTGGGACGCGTCCCAGCTCCTGTCCGTGCCGTGCGCTCTGTTATAGGGGCAGGGGGTGTCGGGCTGGCAGCCCCACCGACGCAGGCGGACGCGTTGCACGGCCAGACAGACACCATGTGCCGGCACACACCGCGCACAGCCGGCCTCGGCCACACACGGGGCGTGCGGGGCTGCGTGCGGCTGTGTGGGGCTTCGCAGCTCGGAGGGGTGCAGGGCTGGGGTCCCCATCCTTTGGGTCCCCATCCTTTGCGACCCTGTCCCTTCTCCCCCAGGGGATGGATGTGCTGTTGCTGCCTTGTTGGATGGCAGAGGCAATTTGCCCGTGTGTATTATCTCTCCAACCCCTCCTACATCCCTGCAGCGCCGTCGGGATACCGGCACAGAACACGGGCAGGAAAACTTGCTGGCAGCACCGCGCTGCTGTTTGTCCATCCAACAAAGTGCTCCAACAGCGCAGCAGCGGCGCTGCCACGGGGCACAGCCGGGGTCAGCACAGAGCTGTCTGCTGTCTGAGCCCAAATTACGGCTGATCCGTGTCACTGCATCCCGCAGCCACGTGTTTTGGGGGTGGTTCAGGGCAGATTTGGGTCGCTGAGAAGGATCCTGGGGGTCCTACACTGCTGTGATGTGGGGGGGTTTCCATCTGGTGTCACCCCTCGGCTCAGGGATGCGTGTGGTGGGAGCTGGAGGGCAGCTCACACAAAGTTAGTGATGGGAGAGAGGAACCCAGAGCTGTGTCACCCCGAGCTGCGGCTGAGCGGTTGTGAAATGCACAAACAGATGCAAAGCTCTGCTCCTTTCCACCCCAGCCTGATTGCCAGTGCTGGACGTGGGGTTGCTCTGGGAAAAATGTCAATCTGTGGCTGCACAGCGCTCAAAGCCGCTCCGTCTCGCGAGGTATTTCCATGGAAATACACCCTGCTTCCAAAGCAGATCTGGAGTAATAGGTTTTAGGAGTGAAAAAGGACCATTAGCTCAGCTAATGTTATTTTCTCCGTGGCGCAGACCAGATCATATCGCTCAGTTACTCCCCTATTGAGCCAATAACCCGCGTTTGTAATCCGCGCAATTTCCTTTTAGTTCAATTGAGTTTTGCACAGAATCCATTCTGTTGACACTGATGCAGCACGGGGTCGATTTTTTTCTCTTTTTTCTCCTTTGAAAGGCTGCGATTTTGGGGCCGTCGCATGAAAAACAGCCGCTGTCCTTTGGTGGAGGTGGGCAGGTCGGCTTGGCGGGTGCCCCGTTTTTTAGCAGCTCTCGTTGCACTGCCAGCCCGTCGCCCCCCAGGAGCTCAGCACCCACCGAGCAGCACCATTAGGTAGGAGCAGAGACCACGAACTTTACAAATAGATCCCTTTTCCTTCTCCTTGAAGTAGATTCGTAGCTCTGGGAGCTTTTTGGTTGGAGCTGTTGGGTGCGCAAAGCACTGCGCATCGCGGCGAGCTTTCCCTGCTGCAGCTTTTGACTCCCAAATCGCAGACCCTGCACAGTCCTCAGAGCTGAGTTTGTTCCAGAGGGCTGAAGTGCCTGGGGGGGGGGAATAACAGAGCTTTTTGAACCCCCCGATTCTCATGGGGAGCTGCACCCTAGCAGTGAGATGGAGCAGCTCGTAAACTTTGCTATTTGCTGGAGAGGATTTAACTCTGTCCATGGGATGCTGAGGATGGGCTTTTCCCTCCATGCAGGGCACGCAGCAGCAGCAAGCACAGTAAATCTTTCCTTTCAGCACATTTATTTTTACATTTGCTACTTGCTGGAGGGGTTTGCTGCTTGTTGCCTTCCTGGAACTGACGCTGGGCTGGTTTGCTGTCACAGAGGTTGGGGATGGGGGCATCGGTGGCCAACAGTGTGGATTGCGCTGAGGTGAGTGCTTGGGGATGATGGGGGCTCGGTGCCATGGGGCAGGGATGGCTTTGGGGTCTGGAGTTTGCCGCTGAGCACGTGGGGTGGCTCAGAGCAACCCCGTTGGTGAGGGTGGTCTGTGGGGTGCAGGACGTGGGGTGCTTGGATGGCCATGGAGCTGAGGCAGCTCGGCGATCCCTCGCAACAAAACCCAACAAACTCAGAAGGATTTTGATGCAGTTTGGCTCTGCTCTTGGCTGTTCCTCCCCATGGACCCAGGGCACGCCACCCGATGTGCGCCCAGCTTTGTCTGTCCGGCACCATGCTGCACTCCTGCTTGCTCAGCCCCATCCCATTGTGAACACTTAGGGTTGGAGCTGCTTTGTGCATGTGATTGCAGAGCAGAAAAGCCTTTCTCACCAGATGGACAGCCTTCAACGCGCATCACTACAGCTCTGCTCTGCTTTTACACCCCAAGCGCTCCGCTGTGCTGCTAAAATGCATCACGTTTATTTTCCTACAAACTGTGTATTGAAAGCAAAACAAATCCCCACTCCTAGGCAGGGCAGTGACTCCCTACAGCTCTGGACAACAGCATGGGGAAAACCCATTGGACTCTTTTGTTCTGTTCTGGTTTGGCTGTGTGCTGAGCGGAGCATCACTGCAAAGTGTTGGTGAAATTTGTTTGTTCTCTGCTAGAAAACAGCAGTGTGAGCTGCCTCTTTCTGTGCATCCAGCAGCAGCTGCGTCTGGCCATGGTCTGATGGGGACTCAGCCCTGGGGGTCTGCAGCCCCGTGGTGTCCCTACAGTTCTGGGACGTCCCCAGCTCTGCTGTTGGTTTCTCACCAGCTTTGGAGGTTTGGGTCTCATTGTGCTGCTTGGAGGAGTGGGGAGGGGGAAGATTTGGGCTGCTTCAAAAGTTTGCCGCGATGCATCACCCCATTTCCACCCAGTTTTTTGCACAGCACAAAACAGACAAAAGGGAAATAAATTAGGGCGGCCTGTGACAGTGCTGCTGGGAAAGCGGTCGGTGCCTTCCCCCCGTCCTGTGCCTTTTGGAGAATATTTCAGAGCCAAACCCTCTCCCTCGGGCTGTGCCCTACGCTCAGCATGGGGCTCCCTCAGCCCGGCCGCTCCCAGCAGGAGGAGCGATGGCAAAGGCACCGACTTTTGGAAATGGTTCTGCAGTTGGAAGCTCTCCCTTCCCCCCTCTCTTCTACCACCCCACCTGCTCCGGGGCCATATGTCCAATGCTGGATGTGCTCCAGTCCCAAACAAGGGCACTTGGTGTGGCCGGTGCTGTCGCTTTGGCACTGGGGAGATGCAGGGGGCACTGCTGGTTGGTGTTGAGGCTGCTGGGATGGGTCAGGGAGAAAAGGAACGGGGGGAAATGCAGCGGCCAAATGGGATCCCACAAAGCACTGATGCAAGTCCTGAGCACGTGCTGGAAGTGGAGCTCAGCCCCACCACCCCAGCTGCCTCATCACAGAGGAACAAGGTAATGGGGCTCATCCTTCCGGCAGCATTTTGGGTGGCCCTGGCTGAGATCTGATGTTCTGAGGCATTGTTTCTCCATTCTGGCTGGTGAAGGGGGCTGACGGCAGTTGGTTGTCTGCTGGGAGGAGATGTATGGCAAAGAGAATTCAAAACGTGTGGGGTAGCAGAGGGGTATTTGGTCCTCTTTGCCCTTGAGAAATGGAGTTACTGAGGGCTGGGCTGGAGTCTGGAAAGAAGCAAAGGGGTAGAAAAGGGGAGAGAAATGCCTGCAGGCATTGCCAGCACTGCGCAACAGCGGTGCTGTTCCCTGGCATGGAGAGGGTCAGCCTGGACACATTCCATGTTTAATGAGCAATTACCAGCCCTGGGCTGTCACCTTCTGCTGCTGTTTGGGTGCCCCGTGGGTGCAGCATGCAGCTCTCTGTGCTCTTCCTCTCTTGTATGGGAGCATTGGTAGCCTTGTTCTGTGAAAGCACAGAAAAAGTGAAGGTGTGGGTGATGGGTTGGGCTGCATGGGCACGGCTGGGGGGTCCCAAGCAGTTCCACTGGGCAACCCCCATCCCTGCTGCACTGCCCCATTGCCTGTGGGGTGCATTGAGCCTGCTGTGCCGTGTGCTGTGTGCGGTTAGCAGCACTCATCCTTCCCATAAAGTGGTCCCGGAGATGAGGAACAACAGCTCAAGGAGAGGAAAGAATGGGACCAAAGGCTGGAAGGAGGCTGGCGAGGTGCTGGGTGCGCAGCTGGACGATGGGGACACGTGGGGACGTGAGGCTGAAGAAAAGGAGGAGCAAAGCCAAATGCAGAACTGGGGCAAAGCCTGCAGGGATGGAGCGTGTGTGCAAGGGTGTGCACGTGTGTGTGTGTGCGTGTCTGTGGAGGTGTGAGCTGGGGGCTGCGCAGGGACAGGACCTCCCGCAGCCCCTCTCCACCTGTCCCCATGGAGCCCGGGGCAGGGAAGGGCTCGGCCAGTCCCTGCCCTCCGGTTGGGGAATGCCAGAGCCCGGCTTATCTTTTGTCTGGAACAATAGAGGGCTCGGCCCCATTGTTCTACCTTGCACGCCCAGCCGGAAAGCGAGTCCCCTGGGGCAGGGGCTGCACGGAGCCGCCTGTGAGGCTGCTCTGCGTGGGGCTTTGCTGGCAGAGAGGACACGAACCCGGACATGGACATCCCCAGCCTCTGGGGCTCTGCAGGTGAATTCCCCAGTGGATGAGGCTCTGGAGCTTTCCTGCTCACCTTTCTTGCTGTGCATGATACAGGCGCTGGGGAGGGGTCTTCCGGAGGGTTTGTGTGGGGGGGTCCCAGGGGCACTTTGTGCCTGTGCAGCTTTGAGACCCCTCTGTACCCCCACAGGCTGCAGCGTGGGCAGAAAGAGGGCAATGTTTGCCTTTCCTGGGGGCTCTCGGGCAGTGGTCTTCACCTGCAGCACCTGCTCTTGGGCTTCCTCTGCCCAGCTCTTCTTGCTGTGTTGCACCAGGTTTGTGGGTCCATCCTGGGAACTGAGCTGGGGAAAGCGTGCTTTTGCAGGGGAGGGTTGCTTGGTGCTGGTTATGGGATGGTGGCTCTCCCAGGTGCAGCCACCAGGTGGGCAGAGCCCAGAGGAGCCCACGGCAGGCTCATGCACCCCCGTGGCAAAAAAGCAGCGTGCAAAGCAGCAGGGATTGCAAATGCTTGTGCACAGAGCAACTGTGCTTTCCCTCAGTCCTGCTCAGCCACGCAGGAGCCAGCTGGGCACGTAAAGCCCTTTGCTGCAGGGGGATTGGGGACCTGAGGGGATGTGGGGACACAGAGGGGGACAGGTGCCACTGTGGCTGCTTGGGCACAAAGAGCCCCTTGTGTGCTGCAGGACATGGGGGTGGTCAGGGGCAATTGGACACCCCATGGCAGCAGGGAGGGATGTCTGCAGCTTGCTGGAGAGTCTGCGCCCCTTGTGCAATGAAAATAATCCTGGCGGGCCAGTAGGAGCTTGTCCCCACATCTCTCTGCACGGTTTTCATGGTCTGTGATCTCCTCTGAAATGAGCAGGGGAGGGAAAGAAGTGAACCTGACTGTGTGCGGTGGTCGGGGGTGTGATGCGGTGTCGTTGCTCAGAGGGGTCTGTCCCATAAACAGTCCTTTTCCCAGCACTGGGCTTGGGGTGACCTCCCTGTGCTGGGAGGGACTCTGCTGGAGGGGTGCAGGGCAATGAGGAGCAAGCTCCTCACTGAGTTCTTAGCAAGGGATCTCAGATCTGCCCCATAAATCAGTAAGAAGGGAGCTCGCGGTAACAAGGGAGAGAAATCCAGCTGAGAGTGTTTTCCTTGGGGATCTCCATCCCGACCCATCTGGCTGTGATTGCTGAGATCCAGGTTCCCTCTGCTTTCCAAAGGAAGCTGCCCGTGGTGCCATCAGCTCCTGTCACACCAGCAAAAATCTGTTGTTGAAATGTCAAATGGCCCCAGCAGCTGGGAGGTGGCCGTCACCCCTTCCCCAAGCCCCCCTAGCAGCTGGAGGGGGTGGAGTTCCCCCGGTTCCCTTGAGTTCCATTGATAGAGCCTTTGTGCCCCTGTGGCCAAGCAGCAGTTTGGGTGCATGGGGCTGTTTGCTGCTGTTACAAACCCATACAAGGTGAAGCCGATGGTTTCTGGGGCGATGTGGGTTTCGGAGAGCGGAGCTGGCATGGGCGGAAGCGCGCGGCCGCGGGGTTTGGGGTTTGGTGCTGTCTTCAAGGGGCCCCTGAGCTGCTTTGGGTACATGTATGTGAGCTGGAAACACCAGAATACCATCGGATGGGAGCCCCAAAGAGGAGACCCCAAAGAGAAGCCGCCCCAAGAGAGAGGAGCTCCCAGAGAGAAGCCCCGCAGATAGGAGCCCCTGAAGTTGAGTCCCCTAAAAAAGAGATCCCGAAGAGAAGCCCCCAAAATTGAGGCCTCCAAAGAGGAGCTCCCAATGAGGAAACCTCAAAGAAGAACCCCCCAAAGTTGAGTACCCTGCAGAAAGGAGACCTCCGAAGAGGAGTTCCCCCAAAGAAGAGCCCCCAGAGAGAAACCCCCAAAGAACTCCCAAAGTTGAGTCTCCCAAAGAGGAGCTCCCCAAAAAATCTCAAAGCTTGGGGGGCAACTGGAAAAAAGTGCCACTGATGGAAGGTGTAGAATGGCACGAGGTGCTCAGCAAGGGGTGGAAGAGGGAGGTTTGTGCTTTGGGAAGTGTTGTGCTGCATCCCATCCTTTAGTCCCCAAGTGCTTGGGCTGAGCCTGGCTGAGCTGAGCTCCTTCTTGTTGAGGAGCGGGAGAGGAAAGGGGTCAAATGTCTTCGCCCCTCCGTCATGCGATTGGAAAGTATTGTTTGTGAACAAACTCTGCCTGGAAACGCTGAGTGAGTGAAACAGCACCAAACCTGCACCGAGATCGGCCTCTGCGATAAACCCGAGGGCTGCTTTGGGGTGAGGAGAAGGCAGAAACTGCAACAAAGGGGACAGAGACGGAGCTCCGTGCGCTCTGGCATCGCCGTGCCGGGTGAGTCGTCCCCGTCCTCATCTCCGTTATGGGAAAGGTTTCCTTTATTTGCTCTTCGTTTGCAAATCGATTGCATTACAAGGGGCAGAAGGTGGGCAGCTGACCGCTCTGTGGATGGCTGGGGGGAGGGTGGAGGAGCCCAGAGGGCTCCAGGGTCAGGGAAGGGCCCTGAGGACCCCTTGAGGTCCTGATTCGACCACCCCTGGGTGTTCAGCACCTGCAGAACCTTCTGGGTCTTGTGGCCGTTCCCCTCTACCACCCATCCAAAGCCTTCCACGAATGACAAGATTTTGCGTCAAAAAGTATTTAAAAGAGGAAAAGAGGCGCAGTAGGAAGGGGGACTTGGAAAATATTACAGCTGTGGGGGCTTGTTCTTTTTTGCTGTGGTATTTAGAGACCTGCAGGGGTGAAAAAACTCTTGAAGACGTGCGAATGAGAACGCTTTGAGTGGCCGGCGTGCAAAGCAATGCTGTGCATGGCTGCACGGCTTCCTGCCGCGCTGTGTGGAGCGGGTGAGGAGTTGGGGGGATGCTCAGTGCTGTTTGCTCCCTGCCCAGCACATGGGAACAGGGAGTCACCCAACCCTGGTGCTGCCCATGTCCCTGTTGTGTCCTGGTTCCCATCTGGGTGCTTCCAGACCCTTCTCTAAAGACGTTTCCAAATGCAACCTGGGCAGTGAAGCCATCCGGCTGCAGAGCTGGCGGTGCGCAGCGCTTTCCCCTTAGTGATACCAAAAGGGAAAGGGGAAAAAAAAACAACCAAAAGGAAAAAAAAGAGAAAGAAATCCTGGCAGGTAACCTCACCCCGAGGATGGGAAGGGGGAATGACCACATCTCCCATTGCCTGGGTCCATTCCCTGTGCCCGTTCCTCAGTGGGTCTTCAATAATTCCAACGTGCCGATGAGATCGTTCCCCACCCAATAAATCCTGTGGGCAGGAAGGTCCACCTGATGGTCATTTTGATTTTTCCCCTAATTAAAGCATCCTGTTGCTCGTCCCATCAAAGAAACCCATGCTGGAACCATTGCTGTGGACCTGCACCAGTTGATGCCCTATTAAGGCTCTTGGTGTTGCGTTGGGTTATTTGTTTGGCTCCTGTGCTGCTGCTGAGCGCATAGTGCATGTGTTACATCTTTGGGGTGAATATGGGTACATTGGATGCGATTTAAGGCCTCCAGAGCTGTGCTGTGAGGCTCATTACCCCCATCAGGATGTGGGGTGCTGGTGGCAGGGGGAGGTCCTGGCTGAGCCCCTGTGCTGGAGAGGGGGGAGGCAGGAAGGCGCCTCGTGGCGGTGATGTGGCCCTCTGCCATCTTGTATGAAACCAGAGCAGCGTGGTAAGGAGCAGCTTAGGAAGCCCTGTGAGAGCAGAATTCACAACCAGCTGGAAATTGTGAGTAAAAAGGGCCACCAAGAACCCGGGGATGTGATGTGGTTGAGACCTCTGCAGGCTGTGCCAAAGGGACCCATGTGCCAGGGATGGCAGCACACGGTGTTCACCTCTCATTGTGGGGGTGCTTTGCTGTCCCGTCCCCACACTGAGCATCCCACAGCACCACTGCTTCTCCAGGACGTCCTCTTGCTTTAGGGTTAAAGCTTGCACGGGCTGTGCAGCAACAGGAGCTGTGCAGCAACAGGAGCCACGCATTTCTACGCTCCACTTGAGCGATGCAGAATTGCTGCTCCACCCCACCGAGAGCCCCAGCCTGGCAGTGCTGGAGAGCCGAGCACGGCCTCTAGAAGCAAAGGGGGGAATCCTCCTCCCTGTGAGATACGGGTCCCAGGCTTGACTAGACTGGGAGTGGAGGGGATGTGGGCGGCAGCAGGTGCTGGGGTGGCACACGGAGGGGTGACCTCCCCTGCGTGCCCATTGCCAGGAGTTTCCATGATGCCAATTCTGTCACCTTGGTGTCACCGCTGTGCTCTGAGCCCACAGGGACGTTTCCGGAGGCCGTCACCCCCCCAGTCAGAGCCACGGGGAGCCTTTGGGGAACAGATAAAGAGCGCCGTGTTCCGTGTGGGCACTGGGAAATCCCAGCTCTCGTTGGAGCTGCGGTTTTGCCCGCGAGCCCCCAGAGTTTTGCTGAAATGAACCGAGAGCAATGCTTTCCAAATCTCTCCCTTTTCGGCACTGATGTTGCAGCTTTTCAGCAGCGCCAGCACTTGGCAGCATGCTGGGAAGGCAGAGGTTGGGGCTTTCTGCAGGTGAGGTGTTGCAGAAGATGTGCAAAGCGTCGGCTCGCCCCAGCGCTGAGCGTTTCCGCTGCGGCTCTGCCTGGCTTGGCGGGGACACGTGGAGCTGTGGCTGCCACGAGGTGATGGCAGCTCTGCAGCATCCGTGGCTTCTGGGTGACTTCAGTATCCCGACATCCAGGTGTATCTTGGGCTTAAAACCTGCTTTTTCATGGTCCTACACTGGGCGTTTCTGGGCATGAATCCTCAGCTGTTGGGTGTTTGTGAATGGCTCTGTGCAGGAGCCCCGCTGCTGATTCCTGCTTGGCCGGGAGCCACACGGGCTGCACTTCCAGCTCTGCTGCATCCCCAAAGGTCACCATTTCCTCCTGCTAGTGACAGCACGGTGCTGGGGACAGCAGATATGCCTTAGTGTGGAGTGCCAGAGGTTGGCTGCAATCCCTCGCAAGCTCAAAAAGGTGAGACTTGACCCCATGACCCTCTATTTTTACGCACACCAGAGCCCCGATCCCAGTGTAGGAAGTGCTGCCCTCTCCCTGCCATGCACCCCGCTGTCCCTGCGTCCCCATGGGATGGCAACCTCGTGAAGTTCCCAGCTGTGTCCCTCACCTCAGCCACCCCCCCAGGCACGCAGTGGCCGTGGCAGGAGGAAACCATCCCTCCTTTTATGTGCGAAGGCACGCTGGGCGGAAACGCTTGGAAAAGGCCCCGAAAGGACATTCCAAGTCTGGCAGGAAAGCAGTCCTCTCGTCTGGCAGGAGACGGGCTATTGTCTGTGCCGGTGACCGGAGGGATTCCTTGAGCCCTGCTTAGAAGGAGAGAACCTGTGTGTGGTTTATTTTTCCCCCTGCTCTCTCTCCTGGGGGTGCTCGCAGCTCGTGCCTGCGGTGCTTTCCCGCTGCTCTGTGCTGTGTGGTGTTTTCGCCTGTTGGATTTTGTGTTTGGCTACGTTTGGTGCTTTTCCCCTGGCTTGCTGCGTGCGTGGGGAGGTGGAAGGGAATCTATGAACTGATATTTTTCTGTGTGGAAAGAGGAAAAGAAAAAAGCCGACGGCCTCTCGGCTCCGCTGGTGCGTTTGGTGATGGGCAGATGGGGCTGATCCTAAAAGCCAGGCAACCCAACTCACCCCATCAGCTGCTGGGATGCTTTCCTATGTCCCACTCTGTGGGATCCCTCAGTGCTGCCATCCCATGGGGTGGAATTGCCCTGGACTGAGGAGCAGGAACCCTCAGTTCTGAGCCTGGTGCAGCCTGCAGCGCATCTCTGCTGGCGTTTTTCCCCCTTGCTGCTTTGCAGAGGTGAGTGCTGTGTTCTGCAATGCTGGAGACCGATGAGGGGATGCTCTAAAGGGTCCGGGGGGGGGAGGGCTCAGCAAGAGGCACATTGGCATCACCCATGGTGCCAGGCTGTTGCTGGCTCTGCCCCTGCCCTAACGAGCTGTCGGCTGTGACACAAATGGGGCAGATAGGATCAGCTCCTAGCCAGGAAGGGTGGCACAGCACAAGGGGAGAATTGCAGGATGTGCCATTGAGGGGTACGAATGGAGAAGGAAAAGCCGGCTGTCGCCATCCCCAAACCTCAGCCCTGGGCTCTGGGCTTTAGCTGGGGCAGCCTGGTTGCAGGTAAGGTGGGCAAAGCGAGGTGTGCTGGGGTGGCAGCCGTAGGGCTTTGCAAAGAAGCCCCATTTGTGCTGATCTTTGGGTACACCTTGTCCCCGTGCTTGCGCTGTTCGCTGTGGCTCTCCAGGCTGGCACTGCTCATCCGTGCTCTGTTCGCTCCATTCCCCTCCGCCCTTCATTAAATAGCAAACATTAAAGCGAAGATCTCTTACATGAAGATGTATTCCCTGTGCCAAGGCAATTGTTCCCGGCCCTATTGTCTGTGCAACAGAGGAGCCCTTGAGCTGAGCACACCTGAGACAGCCAGCACAGCCCTGCTATGGGAACAAGCCTTGTAACAAGATCACCACTCACTTTTCCCCTTTTTCTTCTCCCTTTTTTTACATTTTTTTTTTTGTTCAGCAAACCGTATAATAATCCCACAATGAGGCCCCTTTCACACGGACCCCTATTAAAGCACCGGCCGTATTTTAAGAGTAAACTTCCAGTGGCACCGGGAGGTGAAGCACAATGGGAAGGTGACCTGACCGAGCGCTGGCACTTTGCTTTTGTGCTCCTCCAGCCTTGGGCATCGCTCTGTGCTGAGCACTGTGTGGGCATCCTTGGGTTGACTGCATCCCTGCTGGAGGCAGGGAGGGGAAATGATGGCAGGAACGCATGGAGCGGGGCTTTGTGCCTTCAGAAGGGATGGAAGGAGCACCAACCTTGCTTCTTCTCTCCCATACCGAGCTCAGCTTGTTCCTGTTGCAGCCCCATGCATGCAGAGCAGCACTCAGCACCCAAACTCCTCTCTTTACTCCTTCACCAACTCCTGAGCCACAAAAGCACCCGGGGCTGTGCTTTGCTGCCTCATTTTTCCCCACCTGCAGCGCTTCAGGCTTTGGGAGACCACGGGGCACCTGGATGCACACAGCACACTGAGCGCAGCATCCCGCTGGCTGCACGCCGGCTCGGTCCTGCTGCCAGCAGCGCCCATTTCCTCCCCATCCCTCGGGGTGTTTTTATGAGCATCGATCCCGGGGGGGGGGAGACAGAGGATGGACTCATTGCCGGGCTGCCCCCCGAGGTGGGCAGGGGGCAGGAAAGGGGAGCGGGCGGTGCTGCAGGATGCTGGCAGATACCGTGCAGGGCTGGAGCTGGGAGGAAACCCAGAGCCCGGAGAGCACCGTGGGTTTGTTCAGAGAAGGGCAGGGAACTGAGATTAAAAAAAGCCCTGCTAAGATCAGAAACTCTGGCGCGCACAGTGCCCCATTGTTGAGCTGTCACACTTCCCTTTACTTTATTGCTTTTGTCCAACACCCTATTGTTCCACTTCCTTTTGTCCCCTATTCAGAGCCCTGGCTTTTCATTACCCAGCCGGCCTTGTTGTTTTCGTTTCTTTTGTTTGAAGTTCCTGAGAGGAAGGTTTTATTTTCAGCAGTTTGATTAATTCGCAGCTTGAGCCGGGCTTTGTTTGTTGTGTCACCGCTGCCCCGATGGTGCAGCCCGGTCCTGTCCTGGGGGCCCCCGGATGGTGGGGTGCAGGCAGGACCCCCTGATGGGTGCAGGGCTGGGGGGTCCCTGCTGGAGGGTGCACACCGTGGCCCCCGTGCCCTTCATCCCGCTGTAAATCCCATCCCTGATGGTCTCCTTCCCCTATTATTCCACCCTGAAAGGTGAAGGGTGGGGAGGGGGCATTTGGTGCTGTTGTTGCTGTGTGTTGTGAGGGCTGGTGGTCCGGGGGCTGGGGGAAATTCCTGCTGGGAGTTTGCAGTGGGATCCCAGCTTGTCCCATTTGGGGACACAAACTGTGCGGGGGACGTGGCTGTGGCACATTGCTTAGGGCACATCCTATGGGAAAAAAAAACTGGTTCTGGCCATGCTTGGTGTCTCACTGGATGCCCTTAGGACATTTCTGTGCCCCGTGGTGCCCCGCTGGGGGCTGATCATGGAGAGCCCTTAGAGCACCCAGGGCTCAGCTTCACCACCAGCACAGGGCAAGGCTGGGCAAAGGGGTGCCTCTGATGTGTGGGGGGGAGGGGAGACCCCCATCTCTCTGCTAACAGCCCCGCTGTTCTGCAGGATGTCCATGAGGAGCCCCGTTTCTCCCCACCTGGAGCTCGATGGGGCGGGCAGCATGGTGAACTGCAGCATCAAGACGGAGGAGAAGAAGGAGAGTGGCTACGAGAGCCCACCAGGGGCTGCCCCCAGCACTGAGCCCCATCCCAACGACCCCCCGGGACCACCACCAAGAGAGGGCGCAGACCCCCAGGCATTGCCACAGGTGGGTCCCATCACTGTGACCGCCTCTGCTCCTGGCCTTGACCGAGCCCTGGTCCCTTTGGGTTGGCGGTGCGCTGCATCCCACCCCAGGCAGACAGAGGTTGTCGTTTCCCTGAGCTTTTATTCCTCATCCTGAGGAAACGAAGCTGAAACCTGAGGTTCCCCTCAGGCTTTTTGCCTGCTGTCAGTGCTCTCGGCTCAGCTCTGGCATTAGCTTTTGGCGCTCAGCTCTCCAGGGCCACCTGCAGACATCTTCCACTGTCCCCGCATGCAGGACCGGGGCCACTCTGTTATTTTCCTGTTTTAATTGCTCTCGAGCTTCCTCTCTCTCTGCCCAATATTCTCAGTCCCTGGGCTTGGAGAAGCAGGGCACTCCAAAGAAATAACAGCAACCTCCTGCAAAGCAGGGCTTGGTCATTGAGAGGCTTTCAAGCTGGGGAAGTGCTGCAGGAGCACGTGGTCCAGGATGTCACTGAGCATCTCATCAGCTCCAAACATCCCATCAGTTCCAAGCAACCCAATTGCTCTGAGCACCCCATCAGCTCTGAGCACCCCATCAGCTTGGTGTCTCCTCCTTGGAGACGTGTAGATATCCCTGTCCACGGGTTCTCCACCGAGTGATGCTCTGTGTGTGCAGGAGTCCTGCTCACCCGCTGGTGATGCGTTGGAGCCGCGGTGCTCAGCCTTCGAGCCGGCTGTCGGCAGCCAGGAGAAGCTGGACTTCAACAGAAACTTAAAAGAGGGTAAGAAAGGTTTCTGGGACCTCTCTGTTTTTGGGAAGATTTGGGATTGGAAGAGCCACGGTGCAGAGCTTCAGGCCGTGCTCACCTGGCTCTCCTCTCCCCACTCTGCTCTGCTGACTGCGGTGCCTGCTGATGGGGACAGTGATGCCAACCATTGAGAAATTACTCTCCAGCGACTGGAAGGAAAGGCTGCTGGGCCGAAATGCTGCTGAGACCAAAGAAGTGAAGGGTGAGGTCCCTTCTGTGCCACCTCGGTGCTCTGTGCCCCCCTCAGGTGCCCGCATGGCTTTGTGTTCCCCCATCAATAGGAGGGGAGGTGTGTCTGCAGCGTCATGTTTTGTGGAGATTTGTAGGTTTTTACCCAAAATACTCATTACCCAGAACTGGGCTTTCCTGATAAAACCTTGCTCTGATGGCACAGAGGGATTTTTGAACACCCCTCTGACCACAGCCCCCACCCGTGGTGGTGATGCTGCTCCTCAAGCCCCCAGCTTTGCTTCTTCCCTACGCAGGAACCCAGGAGAGCCTGGCAGAGAAAGAGCTCCAGCTGCTCGTCATGATCAACCAGCTGTCCACGCTGCGGGATCAGCTCCTGACAGCCCACTCCGAGCAGAAGAACATGGCTGCAATGCTCTTTGAGAAGCAGCAGCAGCAGATGGAGCTGGCGCGGCAGCAGCAGGAGCAGGTGAGCTCCCAGGAGACCTGTGTCCCTTCAGGGCTCACTTTGGTACCCTTGACTACAGAGGCAGGACCAGAGGGATGGGGTCCAGGGGACAGAACCCCTCTAGAAGTAGTAAGCAGCTCTTTGGTATCTGCCCAGAAACCTTCCCTGCTTCTGTGCCCATCCCAAGACTTCCCCTCCTGCTGCTTGCTATGGGGTGGCTCAGGGTCAAAGCTCTCCATTCCTTATCTACATGTTGAGGATGAATCATAGGAAGTCCTTAACGAGCCCCTTCCTGACTGCCCTCCTCTTTGCTCTTTGAACATTGATTTATTCCTCTTATCCCTAATAGTGTTAAGTGTGGGGATGACATCAGGGTATGGGTGACCCAATGGTGCCAAGTGCAGGGATGGCATCTCTGGCACACGGTGTATGGATGATGGTCTCTCCTATTGCATTTCTCTCCCTGTGGCCCTTGAGACATCTCCTGTGCCAACCACAGGAGGCCACCGTGCCCTTGGGAACATCGCTTTTGGATTTGGGCAGCTCATGCCCCATGGGGGCTCAGGAGCCCCTGTTCCCATTGCTCAGCCCCTCTGTCTCCTTTCTTCCAGATTGCGAAGCAGCAGCAGCAGCTCATCCAGCAGCAGCACAAAATCAACCTGCTGCAGCAACAGATCCAGGTAAAGGTGGGGGACACCCCTGTAGCCACCTGCAGAGCCAGACAGTGGGGACACAGCCCAGCTACGCCATCCCACAACCATTATCCGTGGTGCTCTTTCCTCCAGCAGGTCAACATGCCCTACGTCATGATCCCTGCCTTCACCCCCAGCCATCAGCCCCTTCCTGTGACCCAGGACCCCCAGATAGCGCTGCCCATCCAGCCCATCCCCTGCAAGCCAGGTGAGCCGAGTCCCCAGGGCACACGGATGCCTGCGGGGTGCCCTCATCCCCCAACACTTCCTCTGTTCCCTGCAGTGGATTACCCCGTGCAGCTGCTGCACAGCCCTCCTCCTCCCACGTTAAAGAGACCCAGCGGCTCTGGCCACCTCCAGATGCAGGTATGGCCCCAAAGTGCCTCTACAGCCCCAAAGCACCCACTGTTCCCCTGCGCCTGGGTGTGCCAGGGGCTGTACATCACACCCTGCCTTCCTTCTGCCCCAGGAGACCTCGCAGCCGCTGAACTTGACAGCGAAACCCAAAGGCTCCGAGCTCCCCAGTGCCTCCAGCTCACCCAGTTTGAAGATGAGCAGCTGCCAGTCCCTCACACCGAGCCATGGGGCTGTGCGAGACCTGCAGAGCAGCCCGTCCAACCTGCCCTTGGGTGGGTTCCCATCACCTCCACCCGTGGAGGGTCCTAAAACCTCCCCAGCAACACCTCCCAGAGGCGGCAGGCAGCTCTGCTCCTTGGCGTCTCACCTTGTTGGGGTGCTCTGGGTGCACCGTGCCGCCCCACAGGGCCACGCGGCCCCATTTTTTGTAGGGTTGGGGATAGGCATTATGGGATTTTGGGGTGCTGACGGGTGCCTCGGGCTGGTTTCCCACCAGGATTCTTGGGCGAGGGCGATGCCATCACCAAAGCCATCCAGGATGCACGGCAGCTGCTGCACGGCCACAGCGGTGCCATGGAGGGAGCGCTGAGCCACCCTTACCGCAAGGTGAGCCGAACCCAGAGTGACCCCCCACCCCTCCATCACTGCACCCCACGATGACTCCATCCACCCTTCCTGCAGGACCACGTTGGCATCGATGCTTCCCCTGTGAAGGAGCGGATGGAGGAGACACCCACACACCGCCTGGATGAGACTCTGCTGAGCTGTGAGATGGACGGTATGGGGACGGTGGGTGCCGTGGGGCAGTGCCACGTTGCTCCTTCCTCCTGCTCTGAGCCAGCCTTTGGGGTCCCTCTCGTAGGAACGCGGCATTTCCCCGAGTCCAGGAACAACAACCACATCAAACGGCCCATGAACGCCTTCATGGTGTGGGCGAAGGATGAGAGGAGGAAGATTTTGCAGGCGTTCCCAGATATGCACAACTCCAGCATCAGCAAGATCCTGGGTGAGTGCTTTGCGTCCACCCTGCCTCACTGTGTCCGGGTTGGGGATCCCAATTGTGGTGTGGGATGGAAAGGAGAAGGAAAGCCTTCTCTGCACATCCCACAGCACTGGGGGGCACAGCAATGGGGCCATGATTGACAATCAGATTGACAAAGGTGTGCAAAGGGGGACCAGAGGCTGAGGCAGCAGCAGGGGCGCAGTGCATGCTCAGGATGAGGGTGGACCTGGACCCACTGCTGGGTTCCTTGGTTCTGCTCTGAGCAGCAGGTCATGGGCATCCTTTGGGGCGAGGATCTTTGGGGCAAATGCCCCCCTATGCCGGGATCCAGAGCCCAGCACTGTTTCATTGCTATCCTCCACCAAGTGCAGCTCTTTACTTGCCACCCCTTTACCCCCCCGCAATGCTCTCTGCACCCCATGCTGCTGTATCCCTAGCAGGACGATTTTGCACCATCCTCATTTAGCTGGCAGCATCCTCCAGCCCTGTCCCCCAGCTCCCCACCAGCAGCTTGCTGTCACCCCAGCCCTGGGGCAGCCTGTTTCACCCCAGCTATTAAAAGCAATCGGTGTGGTCTCCCAGTAGCCCATCTGAAGGCTCACACGCTTCGCTCCGCCGCCGCCTCGTTTTAGCAGCTCCGCTCGTTAAAAAAGAACGGAAACAACCTCTGGGCTTCTCCCTTTGAAAGAGCACGCAGGCAGGATCTGCTCACAACCGCTGGGGGTCGGAGAGGGGTCTGGGAGCAGACGCGTGTGGTGTTCTGGTTGCTGTCACATTCAATGTCCGTGGCTTTAAATAGCTGGCGCAGTTCTGCATGGGGAGCCGGAGCTGCTCGCTGTTCACTGGGGCAAATTTAACCTGCAGCCGAGGGGGCTGGGACCGGTGCTCACCCGAGGCTGGGAGTTTTGGTTGCTGTGTGCTCTCCTGTGTGGCTGCTGGGGCTCAGGCAGCACGAGGGGCTGAGCACGAGGGGGAGGATGTGGGGTGTGTGTGGCTCCGTGCCTCGATTTACTCAGAATGCCCAACTGGTGGAACAGGGGAAGGAGATGAGCTCTAGGGGATGGAGACCTGAGGGAGGGTTTAGGGAATGGGGACAAAGACTCTGGAAGTCTGAGGCCATAAGCGCTGCTAGCATCATCCTCAGATGAGGATGCTCAAGGCTCTCTTGTTGGCTCTGAGCATCTCTAAGGGTGAAGATCCCACTCCCCTCATGGACTTTCTCCCAGGGCTGCCCCACTCCCAGCAGGATGAATTATTTCCTCATGCCCAGCTGTAATTTGCCTTTCATCTGCTGCCTCTTGTCCTTCAAGGTGCGCCTGTGAGGAGAGCTGAGCTCACTCTTCCCCAGATGCCCTTTAAGCAGTGGAAGCTGCAGTTAAAGCCCCTGCACTTTCTCTTGGGCTGAGCCATCCCAGATTCGCCCCATGGTGCAATCATGCGATCCTTCCAGCGTGACCATCACTCCCCAGACCCAGACATGGGTCTGGCTGTAGCCCCTGATCCCATCCCTCCCCTGCCCAGTCAGCAGGCTTGTGCTGTGCTCCCCTTTCCCCTCCTGCCTTGGGTGCAGGTAGAAGTGACAATGCAGGTCAGCCACTGGGGGAATCCGAGTCACACACCAGGACAGCCTATAGCAGCCACAGCACCTATTTGGAGAGGTGCCCCAGAAGGTCAGGACTGGGGACCACGCATGGCAGGGATCCCAGGGGTGCCACCAACCCCAACTCTGGCTCCTATCACACTTGAGGGCCCCACAGTCTGGGGATGCATCGCACTGCTGCAAGTGTAGTGTGCATAGAGCAGCATGTGAACATTCCTAGAACCACAGAATGGGTTGGCTTAGAAGGAGCCTTAAACATGATCTAAATCCAGCCCCCATGAGCGTGAATCCCCTCTTGCCATGGGGTCGTGCACACGGATCTCCATGGGGAAGCTGCAGTGTGGCAGCAGCTAAGCACACCCTGTGGCTCCTCTGTGCCCAGGCTCCCGCTGGAAGTCGATGACAAACCAGGAGAAGCAGCCTTACTACGAGGAACAAGCCCGGCTGAGCCGACAGCACTTGGAGAAATATCCCGACTATAAGTACAAACCCCGACCCAAACGCACGTGCATCGTGGAGGGGAAACGGCTGCGCGTGGGGGAGTACAAAGCGCTGATGAGGAACCGGCGGCAGGATGCCCGGCAGGGCTATTTGATAGGGTAACACAGAGGGATGCCCTGGGGGCAGCGAGGGGCTCGCCCCGCTCCCGTCCCGCTGATGGCATCCCCCCCCCCTCCCCTCCCCCTTATCCCGCAGTCCCCAAGGCAGCCAGCTGCCCCCCGGCTCCTCGGATGTGCTGTACCCTCGGCCGGTGGGCATGCAGCTGCCGTCCCCGCTGATGGAGCATTACCTGCCCCGTGGCGTGGATCCCAGCATGCCCGTCATCGTCAGCGCCCGTAGCCTGAAGGAAGGTGACGGCGGAGGGGACGATGGGCACTCGGTGGCGGATGGTGAGATGTATCGCTACAGCGAGGAGGAGGACTCGGAGGGAGAGGAGAAGAGCGATGGAGAGCTGGTGGTGCTGACAGACTGAAGGGCAGCGGGGCGGGGGGCAGCGGGGCTGGCTGGCACCAGGCGCTGGTGACCCCCGATGCGGCGCAGGCAAAGAGCCAGCAGCTGCAGGGATGAGATGAGATGAGATGAGTGGGTGATGGTGGGGGGTTTGGGTACGTGGCGGTGCCGTTGCTGCTGTAGGGAATGGGGCTCTGCAGCTTGGCTGAGAGCTGATGGCTCAGGAACCCTGCAGCCCCCAGTAAGGACCTGGGGGGAATGGGACATGGGAATCTTCCAGCTCTCTATTCCCTACCTATGCCACCTGCCGACGCCTGGCCACGGGGGCATCCATAAGCTCTGCTCAGCCCAGCCCTCCCCACTCCACTGCAGTTCCCCCTTGCAGCCTGCCAGTGAATTCCCATGGAGCCTTTTTTTAGCTCTTGCCTGACCCCAGTGCGAGCCGAGGGCACTGAGGGGCCCTTTATGCTCCCGATGCTCTGTTCCACTTTGTAAATAAAGCGGTTGCTGTTCCCTGGCTGTGCCCAGCCCTCGGGCAGCCCTGGTGCACAGCACTGCTGTGGGTCCACGCATCCCCAGGTGCCTCCTTTGCACCGCAGCTCCGCGAGCGCAAGGCTTCACCTCTGTGCATCATGGAAACAGCAGAAGTGTGTGTGGGGGGGGAGGCGGAGTGGGGGGAGAGGAAAAAATAGCGATTTAAAGGTAATATCTGGCTCTGCTCAGCACCCGTGCACCCAGCACAGGGTTTGCATGCAGGTGCAGCACCGGCTGTGCGTGCAGCGCTGGGAGCAGCACGGAGCACACGCACCGCCGTGTGGCAGCAGCCAGGCACAGCCGTGCTGCGTGCATCACACCTCTGCTAGGGGCTGCTGCTCCCTCTCACTCCAGGCCCACAGCAGCCGGTGGAGATCCTTTCTCTTTGCCCACCCCCTTCTCTCTTCCCTTTTTCTCAGTGCTTTATTTATTCCCCCCAAGGCACAGCTCAGGCTGGGGGCTGGATGCGGCCGCGCACCGAAGGAGCAGCTCTTCCTCTCTCTCTCTCTCTTTTTTTTTTCTTTTTTTTTTTTTTTTTAAGACTGTAAATATAGATAGAGCTTTATTTTGTTAATAAGACGAGTAACTTAACCTGTATATTTCACATACTTGTTTACAAACTGCCCTCCCCACCCCTTGGCACAATAAAGATGATGTTTTGGAACTGAGCTCGGGGCTGAGTCTGGTCAACCCAAGGGATTGGGATCCAGGCTTCCAGTGTAGAGATCTGGGGGCTTCCTTCCCCCTTCCCACCCTTCTTCCTTCTCCATATGATGCTTTCTCTGTGCTGGTCCATTGCTCTTTCCCCTGCCCTCCCCTCCCTTCTTACCTGTCTCATCCCCACATTTGAGGCTCAGCCTCCTCTGCCCGCTGCTTCCTGCAGCCAAATGCTGCACAGTGCATGGAGTCCTGGAGCAGGGACACTGCTTTGCCAGGGGGAACCAGCAGCAGCACACCCTGTGATGAGAGGCCCCCTCAGCTCCTGCACCAGCCCAAGTCCTGAACCAGGCACCACAGATCGATTGGCCCGCGATTTCCAGCTACCAGCAGCTTTTATTGTGCACCAAAACAAACACCAGATGCAACAAAAGTCACAGGTTTTTGCTGGGTTAGGTTCCTGTGCCCTGGCAGAGGGGGCAGATGCTTTGTCCCTTGGCATCTGCCAAGCAGCCAAGGCAAGTGACCGTGTCCCCCAGCCCCCACCTGATGTACCACTGCTGTCATGAGCTGGGCAGTGCTCAGTGGGGTGGGCTCATCCTTGCAGAGGGGACAGCAGCCAAATGCCAGCTGAGGACAAAGCTGTGCCCACTTCTAGGGACAGCACGGCTCCATCCATCTCCTGCCAGGGCATCTCACGTGGGTCTGGCTGCACTGATGGGGGGAAGAGTGCAGGGATAGGGCAGCCACACTCCATACCTGTGGCTGCACTGAGCCCCCCATTACTGGGGGACGTGGGGGGTGACAGGGCTGGGAGCCCCCCTGCTGCTCTGTGGGATGCTGCAAGTGAAGCCGATGGGGCTGTGGGGAGAAGCAGCCCCAGGTTGAGCACAGAGCAGTGCTTGAAGCACTGCTGAGGATGCTGCCTTCGCTGCCTTGCAGTGCTATGGCTCAGCCTGGAGCCGGATGGCAGCAGCACCCATCCCACTTGGAAAAGGGTCCCCAGCTCTGGGGTGAACACAGACCTACGGAGGGTGGTTTTGAGGGGCGAGAGTACTGAGCAGGCAGGGCAGAGAGGACAGAGGGAACAGTGAAGCCAATAGGCACAGTGTGAGCACGGGGCAGCTAAAGCAACCCAGCAGTGCTCAGTGCTGAATGGATGGATGAGGGGGATCCCGTTTCCTCCCATTGCCAGGCCCAGCAGCAGCAATGGCAGCAGGACACAGAGCTGCCGGGCAGCAGGGCTGAGCCGGGCTCGCTGTAAGGCGGTGGTGAGATGTCCTTGTGTAGGCAGGGACCTCTCTGTGGTCCTCTTGAGCATCTCATGGTCCAGTCTTGGGTATGTCCAGGGTCTCCTTTAATCGGTGGCTGGGGTAAAGCTCCTCTTCCCCCTTCCCACCGTCGGGACCTGCCCTCACCCCTGGGCAGGGAGGAGGCGAGGGAGGTGCCAGGGCTGTGGATGCAGCAAGGACAAAATAACTCAGGGTCCCAAGGGCCAGAGCCACTATTTGGAGATCTGCAGGGCTGTGACCACCGGCTTCATCTTGAAGTACTGCCTAAACCTTAGCTTTGCATATCTGCCAAAAGAGGGATGGACGTGAGACACGCACCCAGCCAGGGTTTTGGGATCCATCCAGTATTGAGCACTTGGACATTGGCCCCCTCAGCTCTGCAGAGCTCAGCACGGACTCACCTTAAGAAGTTAAAGTCTATGGTAGAGTATTTATCCTGGATCAGGCCCCAGCATGCCCACAGGAAATGGGATGCCTGCAACAGACAGAACAGGGATCAGAAGCAGCACAGCCCAGGCGTGGATTTCTATAAGCTCCAAAGGTGGATGGCAGCCCAGGTGAGGAAGGATGCTGAGCAGCAGTGCAGAGTGCTCAGGGTACAGCTTTGCTGCTGGAAATTTCTCCTGATCCCACAGCCAACATGAGATTTGGCCATGCTGGGATAGGTCCCTGCTGCAGCAAACAGCTCTGCTGGAAGGCGTGAGGGCAGAGCACAGATGTCCCAGCACACAGCTCCCTGCCCCAGGTCAAAGGGCTGCAATTCAGCTGTCAGACCTCTGCTTCAGCCTTCTCTGAAAATCACTTTTGTAAATGTTCCTGGCAAAAGCAAGCTGCTCAGGTTGCCAACTGGGACTCTGCAATCTCAGCGTCCTCAGCCAGCACTATCTGTGACCTTGCCCTGGAGCTCAGCAGCTCTGAGCATAGCCAGGCTCTGTGGGGCTGCCCCCAGCAGCACCTGAACCCTGTGAGTGAAAAGGAGAACACAGGGATCAAGTCAGCTCCTTCCCACCTCCCACCTCCAGCACTCACCAAAGAAAACTTGTTCACTTGCACATAGAGAGCCTCCAGCTCCTTCTCGGACACGGTGACCCCGTTGCCTCCCTGCCCCCCTTGGGTGAGCTGCTTGTAGGCCTGCAGGTAGGAGTGCAGCCACTGCAGCTGGGTCTCCTTGCTGGGGTACAGGCGGTAATCCACCTCCTTCACACCTGCAAGGGGAGAGGGGCTGTAGGTGGCCACAGGGCGGCTCTTTCAGGGCACACTGATGTGGCCGAAGCGTTCTCCCCATGTGAGTGAAACAACTGCAGCTCTGGGCTTGCACAGAGTGTTCAGCCCTCTGATTTGAGGCACCCACTCGGTTCATAGAGCCGAGTTCTTGCAGGCATCACACCTCAACCAGTGGATCAGGGCAAGCAGAGACGCTGCTTTGCACATCACCCAAGGAACTGCGTCCATTTCCCATCAAGAGATGCAGCTCTCTCCATTCCTCAAGGATGGGGAGATAGTGGGGAGCTGCCCCAACCCAGGGGGAGCTTCAGAGCCACGGAGAGGAGCCAGCTTACCTGCAAACTCATTGAAGTGATTCCCAATGTCAAAAGCCTGGTAGTTGTAGCCAGTGTACTCGTAGTCGATGAAACGGACGTGCTCTGCAAAGCAAAGCAATGGGTTGGGGCTGGAGCCATCAGCACCGGGGAGAGGGGAACAAAGTGACCCCTCTGCTGCTGCCACTGACCTTGAGCTCTGTTGTAGATGATGTTCTTGCAGAGCAGGTCATTGTGGCACAGCACGACGGGGGAGCCCAGCTGTGAGAGTGTGTCCTTCATCCAGGCCAGCTCATGTTCCAGCATCTCCAGGCTGGGCACGTCCTGGTGGAGGCTGGGGAAGGGGAAGGGGAGGAATCACTTCTGCTCACAGGGATCTCCCATAGGAGCAGAGGGGAAGCATTGCCCCCACTTCCCTCTGTGCATGTTATAAATGAATTCATTAGTGACACAGAGCAGTTATTGGTAGGGAAGCTGAGCTTCGATACTTGGTGCATCCTCCGTAGTCCCCAGGGCACCTGGCACGGCCTCAGCCATTCCCTTCATCTCTAAGACCAACCCAAAGGTGATGGGAATTCTTTGAATCCTCCAGGCCCCATACTCAGTAACCTCTGCAGCTGTTCCAAGAATGGAGCACGTTAATAATTACCACACTGGCTGTATGTATGGTGCAGCGTTGGGTAAAGCACTGGGAACAGCCCTGCATCCCATCCCAGGGACAGGGTTAATTATTTGCTTGATTTGGGGTTCGTTCACCTCCTCCACCTCTGGGGGCTGCCTGCACCCTTCCACAGAGGGCTGATGTGCCCTCACTCACCTGACACGAACCCGGGCTCCCAGCATGGCATCGCCCTCCCAGCAATGGGATGAAGCACTCTGAAATGGGGCTGGGCTGCCAGCATCCCTTCCAGCAGTGATAACAGAACCCTGCTGCTCAGATCCCACTGTAAGAAGGGCTTTGGGTTCCATCTTTTTCTAACGATGGCATAAAACACAGGCGAGATTCACAGGGAGGGTGATCACAGCACATGGGTGTCTGTGGTTCAGGTCAGATGCTGCCCAGGTGCTGTGCAACCATAGCACAGCAGGCAGCTGGGGCTGCCTCCATCCCATGAGCACCCCAAGCTCTCAGGGGTTTGTCCACAACTTTGTTCATGGAGGAACCACAAACCACAGGTGGCCAGCACTCCCCAAGCCCCTGCTCACAGAGCCCAGACTCCAGCAGAGGCTTTACCTGGAGACCCACGTCCCATAGGAGGAAGACCTACAGATGGGTGGGCAGTGGGTGCCCAAGCCAGAGCCTGGCTCTTTGGGATCCCTCTGCCTTTACCTGGGGTTGGGTACCTTTGGGCTGAGGTCCGTCTTCACAAGGGTGAGGTATTTGTGCAGCTTCTGCCAGAGGATGGGTTTGGGGAGGCTCCCGTTGGCGTGGATGGTGTGTACCCGGGCCATCTCCTGGGCCACCAGCCTGGAAGTGAGCAGAGGTGTGATTAGAAGTCTGAGCTGGGGAATGGAGCTGACTCAACAGAGATGCCCCAAAACACACGCACAGCCCAGCTAACTCCCTGTTCCATGCAAGTCCTGAGCCTTTGAAGGATCTCAAACGCCCATGTGGGACAGCTTCACCTTTCCAGGGTGAGCTCAGACTGAAGCCACGATCCTCATGCAACCCCCTTCCACAAAAAGCTTTAAAATCACAGCTGCCGACTTGGCCCCACCTGGGTGCACAGCACTGGGAATTCCGACCCCATCACCACCCAGATCTGAGCAAGGGGAGAATAGGACTGGAGCACCTCGGGTGCCAGTTTGGAGCAGGTAGAGAACTGAAAACATGCTCCCACTTCCCCCTGCTTCCTCCCTGACCCCATACGACCCAGCACTGGGGGTCCCACACACCTGAATATGCGGGGGTCCCGCACGTGGTCGGGCCCCAGGGCGATGCCAGGCAGGAACTCATAGCAGAGCCCATTCTGGAAGGCGCAGTAGAGGTCAGGGGCACAGCCATGGGCATGCAGCACCTGGAAGTTCCTCAGCTCCGTCTCCCGGTCCACAAAGAGCTCCGTCTTTCTACCATAGACACGGACCAGCACTGCATCTGCCATGTCCTCGTCCGTGTAGCAGGCCACCAGCTTGTTGGTGATGCCGTCGGTGAAGAGCTGCAGGGGAGAAGGGGCGGCAGAGCGATGCCCGCACGTCCCTGCCATGCGGGGTGGGCACTGGGAACCCCCTTCCTCATGGCACAGATACAGCAGTGGCAGTTATAGGCAATGGGGAAAGGGGAACACGGAGCAGCAGGACAGCAGGAAAAGCTGCTGTGGGAGGTGGCACAAGATCGCACGGGGTCAGGCACAACCTGCATGGGCACAAGGCTTCAGCTGCACCAAACCGTGAGCGTTTCTGGGGGGAAACTCACTGCTGTTTTTCACCTTGTTGCTCAGGGGTGGTGAGATGTGCTGCGAGCTCACCCGGCATCTCAGCGACCCTGGGAACCGGTCCCAAAAAAACCTTTTGGCAGAAACCACCGATGGCACAGCAAACAAGGCTGAGCAAACACCACCACCCCATCTCCTCCTCCTGACCCACCCCGCGGGGCCACGAGTCGCTGATAGGCAGGGACGTCTCTGCTGGGGACGTCTCTTGTCATTGCTCTGATGGTTCCTCACAGATGGAAAGAGAGTTTTGTTCTCCCGGAGCCCCAATTTGGCCGCCTGCCCGCGCACATGCGGGCCCCGTTCCTCCCGCGCCGGGGTCCTCACCCTGCCCTGGGCCGCAGCACGGAGCAGCCGCCATCTCCATGGGTATTACGAGGGGTTTGGGTTCCCATCACAAAGGCAGGATGCTCAGCCACAGAGAGGGGAAGCATCCCCGGTGCGTTCTCCCTTCGTCTCCTCGCTGTTTGGCGAGACGGAGCCGGTGCGATGCTGGAGGGTGCGTGGTAGGGAGCAGCGATGCTCGGGGGTGGGACAGCTAATTTTAGCTGGCTCACTCGGCAACTCACGCTCCTATGTGGGGTGCCTATATATAGGGCTTCCCTGTGCAGCCTGCCGAGGGAAACTCTGCACTGGAATTACACAGCCAGGCGCAACGGGCTGCGGTGTCCATCATCCTCACACCCGCAGCTGGGCAGGGTGATGCTGCAAGCAACCAAGCTGCAGTTCCTACCCGGCCAATCTGTCTTCCCACCACGATTTCAGCTTTTCTTGCCCTGCCAGGCTCCAGTAATGCAGCTTGCAGCACATGCTGCAGTGCTGTGCCAACGTTTGCCAGCTGCACGTGTGCACCTACAGGTGAGCAGCTCCTCCTCGAGGTGCTCAGCGCTGCCTCCACGCCAGGTCCACACGCAGTGCCTTGTTTTGCTGCCTCATGGCCCCATCACCCCTTTCCAGTGGATTTAATGGGATTACAGAGCCTTATCCCCTTTGAATTCCAGGCCATTGATTTTGGAGACTTGCACGCACATGGCTCGGCAGCAACCTGCATGCCCATGCATGGTGTGTGTGTAAAGGGAAACCAAGTGTGAGTGCACCAGGAGCTGTGCAGCAGCCCCAAGCCTTGTGCAAAGATACTGAAGAGGTGCAGCTCTGTGCCTGCTTGCCCCCTCCTGCAGCCCTGTGTCCCCATGCCCACGCTGGCTCTCCTTGAGCACCAACCACACCACAGCAGCGCTGGCCCTTATTGCAGCAGAGCACCTTGCTGCCAAAGTTAAAGCTAAAACAAATCCTAGGAGGGACAGCAGAGCCCTCTGCCATGCCTGAATCCTTTCAGCGTTGCTGCTTCCCTTCGGAGGTATTTATGCTGGTTGAGTCACTGTGACACCACACCAGCATGGAGATACTGCTGCCCAGGGAGCAGAACCAAAAGGACGAGGAGCAGCACAACATGCAGTGCATGGGGCTGAGGAGCCTGGCAGTTGGATGAGCACCCGGCCTCCTTATTTTCTGCACCCTGTCCCAAGCGCCGGGAGGGTTTTCCATGCTGCAGGCACAGCCTGGTACAGTCCCTGCAGGCAGCTGTGCCCCAACACTGCACACCGAGGCGGTGTGAACCAGGCACTGCTCCAGTCTGCAGAGGGAAGCTAACAGGAACGCTAATAGGAACCAGCTGAGAACAACGCACTGTTCCAATCCTCTCCCAATACCTCTTGCAGAGAGAAATGCAACCGGAGGATTTCCCCTTGATGTCTCCTAAGTTTTCTTCTCTTCTTCTTTTTTTTTTTTTTTTTTTTTTGGTCTTTTCTAAATTAAAAACACAACACATGCAAGCTGCTGCTGAACGCAAACTCCTCTCCATTCCTGGGCAGAACCTGGCCACCACAAAGCTGTGCTCCTGCTCCTTTCAGGCTCCCCATAAGCACCACATAGCTGTGCGAGGTGCTGCACAGCGCCTGGGACATTTCCTGCCCTCCCAACTATGCAGCCTGAGGAACTCGAACTCCAAGCTTCCTGTCCCTTACCATCTGCCCTTTCGTATGTATTTTCCTGCAGCTTCTTGGATTTAATTACACTTGGCTATTAATACATTTTTAATGGCACTCCAGGCACACAGGAAGCGTGTGCCTTCAGAGGACATGCATGCACACGTACGCGTGGTTGAGTGCATCCAGCTCTGCTGCCTGCCTGCTCCATGCCAATCCCAAGACATCCCACGGCGCTGCAGCCCCCAGCAGCCTCCTTTCTGCACCCCACACCTGGGCAGAGGCTTGGAGGAGGAGGACGGGAGCTGCTGATTCCCAGGAACTGCTGTGCCAGCTTGGGACAGGTGAGCCTTGCTCCATGCAGGATGTCAGCATTCATCCCAACTTGCTCTGTGCAAAGGAACCTGGTAAAAGTGCAAGCCTGCTGCTAAGCCACATGAGCCCTGCAGCTGCGATGTGTGGTGTCCGGTGGCACTGCCAGACAGTGCAGCACCTGTGGGGTAATGCAGGGGGGTTGACACCACGACCCCCAAACTCCAGCCCCGAGAGACCTTCTGCATCCACAGTCCTCATTCCGTGGCTCCCGATGGTGTCCCCAGAGCCTGTGCGTGGGGGGGCTCGGTGTGCAAGAGCTTTGCACACCTGCTCAGCCCCTGAGAGAACGGGGCACCGGTGTGTCGTACCCTCCACGTCAGGCCCTACAGCATCCTACAGCCCCTCCCACGGAACCCCCTCCGTGCACCCCCCGTACCTTGGTCTTCACCCTGGCCGGCTCCCAGCTGGGTCTCAGTTCCCGCATCAGCCGCAGCGCTCCGGGCAGCACGTCTCCTTCATCCACCAACACACCGAGCTGAAGCACGCCGGGAACCCCACGACTTCCACCTCCACCTCCTCCCCGTTCCGTATCCCAGCAATCCGGGCAGCGGCCGGGCGGTACGGCCATCCCCGGCTCCGAGCGCCCCGATCCGCGGCCCATGTGCCGGGGGCTGCCGCGGGGCCGGCGGCCGCGGGGAGGAGCCGCCCGCCGTTGGGAAGCCATGAGTCACCGGCCCGCCTCCCGCCGCCCGCCTCCCGCACCAGCGCCCGCCCGCATTGTGAGGTCAGCGGGACCCGCACCGGCCCCGCACCGGCCCCGCTCTGAACGCTGCGTTCGCCGCCTCCGGGCATCTCCGCCCCGCGCACCTGCGGGCTGCGTTCCGAAGCCTCTCGGCAGCGCTGACGTTTCTGGGGGATTTGGGCAGCTCGGAACCTTGCGGCTGGGATTTGGGATCGGGGTTGAGCTTTGGGGCTTAAATGGGGGCTGAAGGAGGTTGGAGCAGGGCTGCGGCGGGGGGTCGGGATGGGGGTGGGAGGGGATGCGGCACCCCGAGGTGCAGGTTGTGCCCTGAGGTAACGGGTGGCATCCTATGGTTCGGGGATTGGTGATGCACAGCCAGGAGTTGGATCCAGACAGTCTTTTCCAGCTCAAAAGTTGGACTCGGCGATTTGTCTGTGTGCCTTTCAAATCAAGATATTCTGTAATTCTATCGTCTCCACCAGGAGCTGCACTCAGTGGGTCCCATCCAATCCAAAAGCTGACATCTGGGACCCTTCCAAATCAAAAAATCCTATTCTACAATCTTAAAATTTCCACCAGTTCTCTGTTGCTGTCCTCTCCGGACCCAGGCAATACACTCACCTCCCATCAACTGGGATTTACAGGCGAGCTGCAGAGAGGTTGAGTGGTTAAAGACAGAGCATCACCCACCCGCCGGCCCCCTGACACCAGAGCAGCCTCAGTTCATTATCATAGGAAATAACAACGGCTCCGAGCACAGAATGCCCCCTCCAAAGTTTACAGCTGGCTGCGGCTGCCGCCGACTAAATGGACCATGGAGACTTGGGGAAAATCGTTCAAGGAAGGGGAAGAAAATAAACCAGTTCCCTGCTTTGCTATATATAGAGCGAGCGCTGTCAGTTTTAATAGGATGGCCGTAATTGCTCCGGTCTCTTTGCTGGGCCGAGCGTGGCCTAATTGCTCGCCTGTAACGATCACAAGTGTTAATACGGGGCAGTTGCGGGTTAGCAGTGCCTTGCAGCCAGCTCTGCACAGCAGGCACCAGGAAATGGCCCTGGCACAGGCTATTAGAGGTGCTAATGGGCAGGCTGAAGGGCCAGCAGCAGCCCAAACGTTTTTCTCTCCCGCTGCTCCGAGCAACTGCGCTGAAAAGGAGCAGAACCAGACCCAAAGGTGCATCCTGTCTCAGATGGGCCCCACAGCTTTCAAGCATCTCCCTGTGGCTGTAAGGCTGTGGCTCCAGAGCTGATCCGTGTAGACCCTCCCCCCCGCGGCTGCCTCTCCCCATTCCCTGGGTTTCCTGTGCTGCAGAGCAGCTGAATGCTGTGACAGTGCTCAGGAAGCACCGGGTGAGAGCGGGTGGGGAGGGGGGTCACTTCCATCTGCCCCCCCCATCCTCACCCTTCTCCCTGCCTCACAGTGATGCAGAAGGGGATGGAAAGCAGTGAGGAGCACCCAGGGTGCCTTTCCCATCCCAGGGATGCACAGCTTGATGCTAAGAGGTTTAAATACTCAAGCTTGGCTACACGCTGCCCAACACCCTGCCAAGGGCAAAAACTGGCAGCTTGGCCACTGCTCAGAGCCTGGGCCTTGCAGGAAAGGAGGCTGGCAAGGCTGCAGCCTGGCTGGCAGCATCCCATGCTGTGCTGGAAGGAGAATTGCTCCCAACCCTCACCAGGATTCACTCTGGGAAATCAGCAGCCATTGCTGGTGGCAGGGTGAGGAGGAGAAGCTCCTGCAGCACGGTGCTGTGCTCGTTACAGGTGTGTTCCCAGGGCTCAGCTGTGCTCACAACCAGGGGGAGATGAGAGCATTGCCAACTGCTTGGCTTTGGGATGGGCTCAGATTTGCAGCTGGTTCTCAGCTCTCTGACACAACAGCGAAGAGCAGCCTGCAGCGCTGCCTGCTTAAAGCACAGCGGTGGATCCCAGCAGAGAACACTTCTTCCCCAGTTCCCGTAAGGGAACTTTTCCTCCTTTCTCCCTCCTCGCAGAACGCTCAGCTTCCTGCTGCTCTGGGGTTGTTTAATATTAAATTGCAGAGAGGGGCAGGGTTAACAGCAGCTGAAAGAACCATCGCTGTAAGCAGCCTAATGACACCGATTAATTTGCCTCCCATCTAAGAACAGCAACCAAACATCGCTCCACAGCGTCTGCAACCTGCAAAGCTCCTCTGCCCCAGCCAGCAGCAACGCACATCACCCTGCAAAGCCTCCGGAGGTGCAGCTCCAGCTGCAGGATCCCGCTTTGATTCCTCAGCGCGATGCTCCCGGGCTCCGCTCTCCCCCCCCCCGTGGCAGCGGAGGCTCTCGGGAAGCAGAGCGGGGGTTTTGGAGTGGGAGAACGCGAGGATTTGCAGTTGCTTCAGTGCAGAGAGGAGGTGGCTGTGCTTTAAGGAAGCGCTGCTCTCGTTTGCGTGTCGAATCGCTCTCTCCCCGGCGATGCTCCCTGCTTCTCAGCTGCCTCCCAGCCCCCCCCCGGCGGTCAGCGGGCGGTGGCGAAGCCGATGCGGTTGTTGCGACGGTCGAATTTGGTGTAGTAGTGCCCGATGAAGCTGGCACCCAGGATCCAGAGGGGTCCAGCCGGGGGTGGGACGTCCAGCCCTGAGAGAGCCACCACGCAGATGTCCTCCCCGTACTGGGTTTGCTGCAGAGAGGAGCAGACTCTACGGTAGATGAGGTGGCAGGAGGGAGATTTCCAGCTCAACGTGTGCCCTGTGCTTGGCTTTGATTTCCCTTCTACCACAGAGGGTTGCCCTTGCCTGGCTCTGCTGGCTCCATATGTCTCCCACCCCAAGGAAGCAGCAGTGGGCTGCTCTGCCTCACCTGGACATCTCTGCTGCACGTGAGAGCGTGGAGAAACAGCGAGCAGCATCGCTCTGCGACTGCTTGCAGGGATGCAGGGAGAAGTGCATCCCCACCAGCATCCCATCCCCGCCCTCACACAGGGACACAGCTTACCCTGAGGACGTAGGCTGAGCCATTGAGCGTGTATGCCTTCCCTCCCAGGTGGAAGGAGATGTTGGGCAGCTGGGGGACCTTCTCACAGTCAACCACGTACTGCAGGAGGAGGAGGAGGCAGCGCTGAGCCTGAGGATGGGCTGGGGAGAACGTGGGGATGCAGCTGGGCTTTGCTCACCTCTCCTTCAGTCATCTCTGCTGCTCCAATGGCTTTCATCAGCACGGACACAGGGCCGGCTGGGCCAGTGATGTAGGATGCTCCGGTGTCAATGGCCACTGAGCAGCCCTCCTTGCAGAACAAGATTTCAGCCCCTACAGACACCCTGGGACAGAGGCGAATCCTGAACTCTCGTGATGTTTGCAGCTCAGAAGCAGCAGCTGGGCAGAGCACATGCTGATCCCAGTGCCTCCAGCACACAACCCCTCTGGGATCACTCCCTTCAAGTTCCTCAACAAGGCTTCATCATGTATCTTTTGTTGGTCTCGGTGGTGGTATTTTATTTTATTATTATTTTTTTTTAAGCTAAAAAAAGCAGAATTGTTTCAGCATCTCACGCTGCTCCTGCAGGCTGACAGGGGTTAAATTCTTCCACTGCAGCTTCCAAGGGAAATCAACCCACAGTGCCTCCCCCTCTGCATTCCCCAGCACTGTGAGATGAGCTGAACATCATCGTGGTGCAGCTCTGTGCTGGAAGAACCGACCCCACTCCCTTTCCCTCTTAGAGTACAAAGCATCCCACTGCCCACAGCCCCATTCTCCCAAGCCCACCTTTATGTGCCCAGGGCAGTATTTGGATGATGTGCCCCATATCCTCACCCCTTCATGCTGATCTGCCAGTACCCGTTCCTGCTGATGCTCAGGTAGTGGAAGTCCCCAGTGTAGTAGGCTGGGTCGGTGCCCCCCAGGATGATTTCCCCACCGGGTTTCAAAGGAGAATTCCTAGGGTGCAAAGCACAGCGGGGTGACCCTCCTTCACTTGGGGTTCCTGGGGCAGGGAGCATGCAGTGCTGTCAGCCTGGTGAGCAGTGGCAAAGCAGGAGCCATCCTGGTTTAGTGAGGGGGATGTGAGACCACAGGGGTGAGGATTGGGGCAGGTGGGTGCTGAGGACAGGTGAGGGCAGAGCCCAGGGCTGGAGCTCCTAGGAGCCAGCACTGGGGTCTGTGGTGCTGGCAGTGGGTGCTGCCTCCAGAGAGCTCACGCTTTTCATCTTCTTACTTTGAAGCTCTGCAAAGAGAGAAATGTTCTGTGAGCCTGTGGTCTGTGGGTGGCTGCATCCCAGAGTGCCAAGGGCACTGAAACAGCAACCTGACCAGGCTGCAATGGCAGCTAGCATCCTTGGGACTCATTCATTATTAAAGAATCCATCTTTAGATGGGATAAAGAGCTACAGACTCTACTTAGGCGTGCATCTGCCTCCTGTGCTGCCTCATTCCAGCCCATCTCCTGCAGGCAAATTCCACCCAGCCTGGGTCTCACAGCCCCAGCCATAGCTTCTTCACAGTCCCAAGCTGCATCCCCAGCACGCTGAGGCTGCAATGCCCAGCCCTGCAAAGCAACCCCCTCCCCACCTTGAAACCCACCGGTTGTAGTAGACAGAGAACACGTCCTCCTTGAGGATCTGCTGGGAGAGGATCCGGTCGAAGACAGGGGTGATGCCATCGATGGCCTGGCTGGGGTAACCCATGCCCAGGACCCCATCAAACCTGGCAAAGATGAAGGGGAATGCAGGCAGCACCGTGGCCTCAGCGAAGACCTGGATGATGGGGATGTCCGATACCTGGGGAGGGCACAAGGGTCTCTGCATTGGGAGACTGTGGGGTAAAACCCAGCAGAGCTCCCATACTTTCAGGTAAATGGTTGTGCTCATAAGGGGAGCAGAGCCAACTGCTCCAAAATTCAGGGTGTGCTCTCACCATGACCACATCCTGGCTGAGGAAGCCTTTGACACTGCCTGTCCCGTAGCGGATGGAGAAGCCTGTACCATTGGCTATGTATGTCCGTGACTTGGAGGAGTCATAGCGGCTGTGGGAAACTGGGGAGAGGCAGGAAGGCATCAGAAACAACAAGGGAGGGGGCAGCAGAGCCAGCTAGAGCTCCGTGCATCCCTTGAGATGAAGGGATTTGCCCACATCCACTGGAAAACCAAAGGGTGAGGATGGAGAGTGTCCCCTCCCCACCCCCAGCACTCACTGCAGGCGCTGTAGAGTGGGGAGCACTTGCAGGACGGCACCCACAGGTTGGCTGAGCCCGTGTCAAAGACCACCTTGAAGGTCTGCGGGGGGGTGCCGATGCTGATCTCACCGTAATACTGCGTCTGGAAGAAGCACAGCGCCGGCAGAATGACTCGGGCTGGGTCCTCCTGCGGCTCATAGAACCCGTGAGGTGGGGAAGATGGGGGGGCAACAAACATTCCGTGCGTGGGGAGGGGCTCACATCCAGGTAGTTGGTGAGGAGGGTGGGAGCCGTTCCGTTTTGGGGGCCGCCCGCCCCGCCTCGCCTTTGCCGCAGCTCGGGAAACACGTCGGCCACCTTCACGCCCATCTCCTGCAGCGTCTGCCGGATGGAAGGCATCCTCCGCAGAGCGATCCTGCGGGCAGGGGAGGGGGCTGTGGGACACCCCCAAGAGGCAGCATCTCCCTGCCCTGGAAGATCCGAGCTCTAGGTGGCAGCAGCTGCCCGCAGGGTCCCGGCCCAGCGGAGGGATGCGCGGATACGGGGATGGGACACGGTGCTGTAGGGGTGCCCCGCACACAACGGGGGGTTTGTGATGTGCTGAAGCTCAGCTCGTTGGTTTTGCAAGTGGAAGGAGTCGTGCTGGCTTCGGAGGTTGGAATGGAAGGAGAGGTGCTGCTGTGCCATGCAGCGCTCAGAGGGAGAGGGGAAGAGAAGCAAGGAGGGTGAGGTGTGCTCAGTGCCAGAGAGGAGGAGGAGGAGGAGGAGAAGGGAAGGTGTTTCTCAGCAGCCTGGAGGAGCAGAGAAGAGAGCTCTGTGGTCCTCAACACCAAAAAACAAGCAAACAAGGAGATGGCAAAACCCAGCACATGGTGCTCCTTTAGCAACAACTCTACCTCTGCAAAGCCAGGGCTGGTGAGTGGAAGAAGCCAGCACTCCATGCAATGGCCACGACGAGCAGACACTGCTGCAGCCTTCTGCTGCCTCCTGCCAGCATCTCGTGCTCCCAGCGCAGCCTCCTCCTTCACCAGAGACTTCTCCACATCCCCAAGGAGAGAATGTTTTATAGGCTGGCTTTCTGCCTCCCTGTGGGTTTCTCCTCCCAGTTGGCTGAGGGCAGCATGATTGTAGGTGGGCACAGCCAGTTATCAGGGTTAACAAGGGCAGCTGTGGATAGCTGGGAGCTGATAACCTCCATTATCTGCAGCTGATGGCATTGCTGTGTCAGCCCCGAGCACCAACAGCACACTGCATGCAGGGCATGGGCCAAATGCCTGCTGCCACCAGGGAGGAGAGATGGACAGTGGTGGGGATACACGGGGCGATGGCTCAGGTCTGGTCGAGCTGTGCTGCTAAGGAGCAGAGAAAGAGGGGAATAGAGGAATGGGGATTTCCTCTAAGATTGAGGGTGGAAATGGCAAACGCAGCTCCTTGGCCATAAACCTACCAAATGCTGCTGTCCTCATAGGGGCTGCTCTGAGCACAGGGAAAAGTCTGCCCCTCGTTTTCTCACCCCAGTGAGGGAGCAGAGACTTGTGCACAGAACAGCTGAGCTCGTTGCAGTTGTATAAGCAGCTACAGCCTGGCCAGGCACAATGTGATCACTGCAGTGTGCAGGAGCACAGCTCATGGTGCCCAAGCAGCACATGGTGGGGATGCACAGGTGATGCAGACAGCAAGCTGAACTGCTCAAGAACTGCAACAGCAAAGGACTCCTTCACACAAGTTGTGCTGCTGGCTCCCAGCTCTTGTTGCTGCAGTTCCCTGCTCAGCACCCAGCCCTGGTGCATGGAGGATGGCTGCTGGATTGAGCCCCGTGGCTCCAAGCCCAGCACTTGACCTCAGGATCCAGGGAACCTCGGTGGGAAACGACTGCAGCAGCAATAAAAATGTTCTCAGAAGAAACCTGATGACACACTTGCCCCTTCCTTGAAGCCCACAGCTACACAAACACACTGGTGTGCTCCCACTGCTGCCAGGATTTGCTCAGGGCACTGCTGGCACCTTCACCTGGGGACGCAGAAGCTGGGGGGCACAAGGAGGGTCCCCCCCACCACCTCACCTCCAAACCTGGGGCTTCACAGCCTCCTGCACCCTGAACTCCTCAGGGCTTTGGGTCGCAGGGTTTGGAGCCAGAGGAGGGCTGAACCCAGCAGGCACCTCATCTGCCATGGCCCCATTTCTCCCAGCCTTGACGTCTTTTCCCATGCCAGGTCCTGGGGCTGCGTCACCAGGGGCAGCCTTGCAGGGTCAGGAGGCAGCAGCCCGGCCCCTGGCAAGGAGCCACAAGGAATAAATCCCCTTTCCGGGCATCCTAAGTCCCCAGAGGAGGGACTCTGGGGTACAGCGTCACTTCTAAAGGGGCCACATCAGCCAGAAGAAGGTGAACTCAGGGCATGGGGCCATGGGGCTCTGAGGTTTCCATCTCTGCTGTAACCAGGAGGAGCACATCCACAGGACCCCAAGGATGCTCCTCCCTCCACACAAGGAAAAACCCCAGGAGGCATTTTCCACCCCCAGTAGGAAAAGCAGCTGGTGCACGGGAGCAGCGAGAGAAAGACCTGGCACAGGGCTTCAGCTAACCAGCAAAGGGTGCATTTGTGCACAGAGCTGCAGGGAAAGGAGCACTGCTTAACTTAATGCAGCACAGGGGGAACAGCCCCAGGGACATCAGCTGCTCTGAGACTTACTGAAGTTATCCCTCACCCCCTGGGAGAGCAGAGCTGCAGGGGCCATGCTGAGCTCTTCCCATGCAGCCTTAAAGCACAGAGGAGCTTTGCTCCTTGCATCAACCCAACCTGATATTGCAGGCTCAGGATGGGAGGATGTCAGGCAGAGCTGAAATCCCCCCATTTGATTTGCTTGCTGCTGTGATGGACACCAGCTGCAGGTGCTCCATACAGTTCCTCATCCTACAGAGATGAAAATTAAACTTATCTGGAAATAAAAGGGGAACATTCCTCAATGGCTTCCTGCCTGCTTTCAAGGAACCAAATCACTAAGCTAAAAGTGAAGGAAAATGCTTTCCAAAGGGAAACAAAAGCTTCCCTGCAAGGCACGGCTGAAAAGCTCGAGCACCAAAGCAGCTTTTGGGAAGGACTACAGAGGGTCTGGGTTACACCAGCACTGAGGGAACTGGGCCATTGACTTCAGCAGTGTCAGGGCTTCACCTGGAATGATTTCTTAACATCAGCACTGCTGCAGAACATATTGAGACAGCATCCTATTGAGTTGGAGGGGAAAACACAGGCAAGTTTTTCATGAACATCCCAAAGGTGCAGCTTGGCCATAAGAAGCTGCTTTATAGCCCAAATGAGGCTTTTTACCTGCAAGCAGACACAGCCACACACCAGGGGAGCTTTGGGTCCCACTCACCTGTACTGTGGCCAAACCCCACTGGGCTCACCAAGCAGCTCCAATCCTCAGTGCTTCGCCACTACAGCTGGACTTAAAGCAGGACCAGCCCCACTTCTGCCATCCTCCAAGGCACCAGGAAACCACAGAGGAAGCTTCAAAGGGGAGGAGATCTACAGACACCCCCCTCCAGACAGCAGCATCCCATAAGCACAGCCCCACACACAGCAGAAGAACCCCAAACTCAGGGGGCTGCCATGCTTTATTCCTGCTGGAGAGCTCTGAGACCCCAGGTGTGGCAGAGGAGTCACTGCTCCACAGCAGCCAAACTGTTCCCAAATCTGCTCTCACCTGCTGCAGACCCTGCCAGCACCTCCAATACGCTCAGGCTGCACTCCAATAAGGAGGGAACATGTTTAACTCAAACTCATTAATTAATTCCTGCCATTTAAGAAAGGTATCTGCGCAGGGACCAGCTTTGATGTGATTGCCCTGGTTTAATTAAACTCATTGCTTGCACCCGGCTTCCCAAGTGCTCATAGAATCCCAGCTTGTATCCATTGAGCTCGTTCCTCTGACTGCAGAGCTGTGGGGTTACCCAACCTGTTCTCTCCTGGAGAGAGGCTGTTCTGCACCCTAGCAGAGCAGTTCCTGGCCCCACACCAGCCCCGCTGTGCTGCCATCAGTACGCCCAGCCCTGCTCCCAGCTGGGTGCATCCCATGGGAAATGGGGCTGTGGGAAACGTGAGTGCTCAGATAGCAGCCCTGTGTCCATGTGCTGCCCTACAAGTGCTTCGCCCCCCCTCTCCCCCCCACCCCAATATCTCAGTTAATTCATATCCCTGGATGTCATTTGCTTTTTCGTGGTGACTGGATTTTAAAGGGGTAATTTACTCTCCTCCGATCAGGTCATTAAATGTTATTGTGGTTTAATGGGTGTTTTCCTAACCTCTCCTGTCCTCTCCCTCTGCTCCCTGGGCTCTGCTTGCCACGGCCCACGGTCCTGCTGGGTGCGTGGGAAGGCAGCTGCAGCCACTGGGGTTGTCCCTGTGTCACCTCCAATCACGGCCATGGGAAGGTCTCCATGTCACCTCCAGCCATGGCCACAATGCTTCTTAGTGGCCCTAAGAAAAGGCTCCAAACCCCAGAAAAAAAGCCTCAGTACAGTCTCAGACACACTTTTTAAAATGAAATCCAGCTCTCATGAGGGAAAGACAACAACACCAATAATAATAATAATAATAATAACAACAGTAATTACAAAGCCTGCCTGGCGCAGCCTGCGAGGCACCATCCCTGCAGCACAACCATCTCCAACCCCCAGCAGGACTGAAGGGCCACTCGTGCTGTCCCACCTGTGACATTATCCATCCCGTGGTCACACTATGGAGCTGCTGTCACCCAGTTTCTCCAAGAGCTGTAAGATGAACCATTCCTGATTAGCAGCACAATACTCCACGAGCAGCAGGGAGACTGTGCTGACCTCCTCCCGCATGCCCACAGTGCTGCTTTAATGCAGCAATGCCAGCAATTTCTATCCCCCAAGGACTGCATCCCCAAAGGTCCACACCCAGAGAGCCTTGCCCAGCGCCCTGCTCACCTTGTTCAGAACAGGGATATTCACCAGCGAGCCCAAAAAGCCAAAAACCACGGGGAAAAAACTCCTGCACCGAAACAAAAGGCTCTGTTAAGCCTGCCACGGTAGATGCTGGTGGCATGGATTGGTTTCGTGTGGGTCCACGCAGACCTGAAGAGTGTGATGAAGCCATAAGCTTCCAGCAGCATCCCCAGGAGCGGCCACCGCATGAGGACGATGAGGACCCCCCCAAGGAAGAAGCTGCTGCCCTTCATCTTTTGCCTTTGGAAGAAGAAGGTGAAGGTCCTCCTGAAGCCGATGATGAAGACCAAACCGGAGAGAAAGAGGATCTGGGAGGAGGCAGCAAGGAGGGGTGAGAGCAGCCCTGCCCTATGGCCACTTTGCTCCAGAGATCTCCCCCCTCCCCTTCCCATGCCATACTCACGTTCCCAAAGGCCAGCAGCACCGAGTCGAAGTATAGGAGCATCCCAAAGAGGATGAAGAAGATGCCGAAGCCGACCAGCCCCACACCAACCCCTGTGGAGGATGGGCTGAAATGAGGGTTTGGATGCACTGCTCTGCTCCCACCCAAGCAGCGCTCGCTTTGCTCAGGGCCACCCTGTCCCATTCCCTCCCAGAAATGTCCCTGTGATTTCTCTCCCCCCCGCTGAAGTCCTGGGGAGGCTGTAAACCCTATGAATTCAAGGTGGCTGCGAGGTGTAGAATCAATCACAGGGTAAACTAACCAGGAAGGTCACCCTCCACACGACCCCAGGTGGTTGCACGAAGGGTAGAACAGAGGTTCTGGTGGGGGCAAGGGGCCGGGCACCTCCCTGCTTGCCTTCCATACACAGCCCCCACCCCACTGTGCCAATCCCCCTGTGAATCACATCCAACCCATGACCCCAGCGCCATGCAGTTTGCCATCACCCCCTCTCTCTTCCCCGGTGCCCCCAGCCCAACTGTGGGGTCAGCACCCCCAGCACCCCCCACGAGCATCCCACCCTGGTGCCCAACTCACTTTGGAAGTCGCTCAGAGTCACCATTTTGCCCCACTGCTCCTCGTGTCGGGCGCTTCCCAGCAGTGACCCTTGGAAAGCCCTTTAGTCCCCACGTCATCCTGCAAATCATTAACGGCCCTGCAGCTGCTCGGGGGGGGGAGTGGAGGGGGATCTCCCTATGGGGCACATGCAACCCCAGGCTCACCCCACAGTTTGCAAAGGGGATGCTTTAATCCATGGAGGTTTTTTGGCCTGTTTGGTATCAGTGTGATTTCTTTTGCTCCGGCTGAGGGCTGCGCAGCTGCATTCAAAATAATTCCCAGCTGGGAAAAGAGACATCAGTGGGAAAAAGAACCCTAAGAAAGGATGAGAGGAGAGCACACGTGGGCTGAGCATCGTGCTGCACAGGGCCGTCTGTCCCACCCCTCTTCAATCCAACACTGCAATCATTACCTCTGCACAAACGACACCGACACGGCGCTGTTTCGGAGATACTTTTATTTCTCTAACGCTAGCCAAAAAAAAAAAACCAACCCAAAAACAACAAAACCCCCCAAAACCCAGAAAACAAACCTCCCCCCCCCTCCCCAACCCTCCCCACACCCAGTGCATAAATAGATTTCCTCCCAATGCCAACTCTTCTCTCTGTTACGAGTCGCTGCTGCATGAAAGCGGTACGAAAAACAAGAACCGAAATCAAAAACTCAGCATCCAAACTATTTTTTGTTTTTTGCCCTTTTTTTTCTGTTGTTGTCGCCATTGCTGTTTTCTTTAAAAAAAAAAAGAAGAAAAAAAAAACAAAGGAAAAAAAAAAGCCCCAAATGACCCCTTTCCATTGCACTGCAGCTGTGGGATGAGGACACAGAGGGTTCCCATCTCCTACAGCCATGGGAGAGGCCCAGTGCCCCCCAGCCAACCCCCCCTGCACAAAGGGCTCTGCCCTGCACACCCCCCAGCTGGGGAAATAAAGGCGTCACCTCTTCCACCTTACGCTCTCTTTACACACACATATATATATATATTTTATTTTTAAATAAATTTGCTTTTCATAAAAGCAGAAAAAAATATATGTGTATATATATATATATATTGGCTTTTTTTTTTAATTTTTAATTTTTATTATTATTTTTTTTTAATTTTAAATTTTCTGATAAACTGGCAAAGAATCTGCTCTCGTTGTGCTGACAACCCTGCAGAGATCAGCACAAAACTACCTCCCAGAAAAGAAGAGAAAAAAAAACAAACCCCATCTATCTATATATATATATATATATATATACGTATATAATAAATGTATAACTCTCCATAAAACATATATTAAGGCATGTAATAGCAAAATAAAGGGCCAGCTTTATGAGCTAAGGGGGTTGCAGGAGGAGAGGGGGACTGGGGTTCCTGGGATCCTATGAGTATTGCTAAGAGCAGGGGAGGGGGGTTGGGGATGCAGAGGGGGCACACATCAGGATCCAGCCATGGGGACACTGCCCAACCCCCATCTCTGCCTCCCACCCCCCTCCCCACACGGCGCTGTGTTTTCAGGCAGAAACAGTGTTTTTTCCCTCCGTTTGGAAAGCGAAAATAAAATGAAATCAAGGATAGGCTCGCAGTAGGAGAAATGACCAAGCTGACGTGGTTGGAGTGCAATGGCGTGCGGTGAGACCAGAGGGATCCAGTCCATGCTGCGCAGCTGAGGTGCCCCCTCCTTGTCCCCACATCCATCCCCGGTGCTGCGGGAGAAGGAATCCCTCCTCCAGCACAGAAGGCTGCCCAGGGAGTGCTGCATGTGTCACAGAATTCCTGCTGGGCCACCTGGGCTGTGACAGAGGTGACCATGAGCAAAGCGTTGCTACCACCTGGAAGCATTCACGGCTCCGACCCGGTCCCTTCCTTGTCACCATCCCCATCCATCCTGCAGATTGCTTGCTTGGCCCATCGGCTCCGCTCCGTTCCTCTGCTCCTTCCCCACATCCCCTGTCCCTGCCTGCACCTGCTGCTCCATGCCCACGGCTCTGCGCTGGGCAGCCCTCACCATCCCGGCCCCCGGGACACCTGTGTCCCATTGTGTCCCCTCTCCGTGCGCCCTGTTCCCACTTGCAGCCACGATGAGGCTGGCACCTCCCTCCAGCAAGGTGCTGAAAGCTTTCAGGGCACAGCCAGGAGCACAGATGCACGTGGAGAATGCACCATCCATAGTGGAGAAGGCCCCCTTTGTGTGACCAATGCACAGAGAGCTGAGGGGTGCTGCACTCCTCCAGAGCTGCACGTGTCCCTCCATGCACCCAGGACAACACAGCTGTGTCCCAGTGCTGGGTGGAAGCTCAGTGTCCCCAGTCCTTGGGGACGGCGCTTATGGCATCTGCACAGCTCCTCCAGGATGGGGCAGAGCGTTGGAGCTGCATCTTCCCCTCTCATCCACCCCAATGGTGATGCCATCGATGGGAAGGAGGGAAGGGGTCCAGGAGAACCAAAAACGATGGCGCAGAGAGGGTCAGTGTCGAGCCATGGCGCATGTAGTGCTGCACTAGAACGTGGCCCCATGAGACTTGATGGCACCAGCGGCTGCCAGGGCTTGAGCTGGAGGGAGAGGAGCAGAGCTGAGTGCTGTGATCCCTACAGACGCCCCCTGAGCAGCCTGGAGTAAAACCCCACAGACTCAAACCCACGCCCAGCACCTCCTGGGGAACAACACCTCCTGGGGGGCAGCAGCCAGCTCAGCCCCATGCCCACACCGGGGTCCCTGGTTGGTTCCCACACCACAGAGAACACTGCACTTGTTCCATAGGAGGAGACGGGGCTGACGTGGCTCGGAGGTGTTAGCTGGAGCAAGCAGTGATGGATGGAGGCCGGGTGGAAAAGACACCGGGGGGAGTGGCACCCCCCGCCCATCCCTGGGTGGAGAAGATGGGATGAAGTACAAGAGAAAAGGTGCTTACTTCATGGCTCAGACACGCATAAAATGACTGCAGTCGGCGACCCGGGATGGTTCAGACGAGAGGGGGTTGGTCGGTGGAGTCGGGGAAGCTGGGGAGGTGGGAGGGCTTGGGGTAGCGCATTGAGCTGGAAACAAGAAATGGGAGAAGGGAATGAAGAACACAAGCTGAGGGCAGCAAGAGGGGAGGAGGCAGCACAGCAGGCAGGTTAGCGAGGGGAGGAAACCAAGAGGAAGGAAGGGAGGAAGCAGGGCGAGCAGCCACTGCCCGGCTGCAGCACGCACACGTGAGCTCCCCCAGAGCTCCTCCTGGACAAGGCTGTGGGCACTGTGTGCCACCACTGGGCATGGGCAGTGCTTCCCCATCCCTGAGCACTCCACGTTGGGTTCCTCCCTTTGGGTGTGGGGTAGGCAGCTTTTGCTGGCTAGCACTCCATTCTGCAATGCTCGGTGCTGCTGCCCTGGCAGCTGCAAGCATCACCTGGCTTGGCTGCTGCACGGCGCTGCATTACAGCAATGCAGGATGCTCTCTGTGTGCACAGCCCCTGTTTCTTTGCTGCCATCACCCGCTCACTGAATCTGCTTGTTCCACACTGCAACAGTTCTTTCTGTTCATCTGGTACCTGCAGTCCCTCTCCTGCAAGGCTGGCAGGCAGTGGGTGTGCACCCCAGACCCTCCATGCCTTACCCGACAGCATGCGGCCCCGGCGGGATGCCTCAGCAGCCAGAGCACATGAGATCTCTATCCTCTTCTCCTGCTCCTGCAGCTGTGTTTCGGGGTCCTGGGGAGCATCCACTTCACCCTCACCCAGGGGGATGACGTTCTGCAGGCTGCAGGGACACTGCTGGCTCAGGGGGATGCACCCAGATGCTGGGGATGGGGCGCACACTGGGGGTGTTGCACCTCACCTGGATTTGGCAATGAGGGTTTTTATCCTTTCCACCTTCTTTTGCTTCTCCTTCATTTCTTCGGGGCTGAGTGGCGTGTCAGGCTCCAGTTCAATGTACCTCTCAGGGATGAGGACTTTGTCCGGCGTGGATAGCTGGGTGCAAGGCTGAGCTGAGCACTGCTCAGCAGGGCCTCATCCCCTCCCCAGCACACACAATCCCCACACAACCACCCCCAGCTCTCAGTACACCAGACACAGGCATGGAAGCAGCACTCACTCCAGCACCAGGACCCCACACAATGCAGAGGCTGGATTGATCCTCCAGCAGAGCGGATGCCCCGTGCCCACGTCTCCATGGAGCTCCTGTCCTCACCTCCTTGTTGATGTCCACATCGTAGTGCTGTGGCTCCAGCTCCATTTTGCGCAGCCGGGCGATCTCCTCTCGGGGTGTCTCGTGCACCTTGCCAGGTTCGTCAGACCGCAGCGCTGCCTCCAGGTCAGAGATGTCCACCTCATGGATGCTGCGGTGCCGGCGCACCTGCAGGAACCACAGCCTTGCTGAGCCCCCGTACTTGGCAAACAGTGCCCTGCCACAGCCCCGAGTGCCCCTTCTGCTCCTTCAGGGACCTCAGCCCAGCCCACAAAGCCAATCCTGCTTTGCACCCAGTGGGTGCAGGGACTCACCACTTTGTAGGACGTGGGTGCCTTCGTGCCAGGGGTGTCTGGCTGCTGGCTGCCGGGCAGCTGCAGGCTGCGCCGCTTCTCCTTCATGGAGCCGCTCTGGTGGCGTTTCATGCGGTCAATCTGCTCCTCCACGCTCATCTTCACCTTTGTCTCATTGGCAAACGCGGCGCTCTTCGGCCTCTCCTGGGGGGAGCCCAGCCCCATTGTCACACCCTTCCCAAATGGAACAGAATCCAGCCCCATCCAGCTGTGTTGCATCACCCTGTAGAGGGCTGCTGTGCTCAGCCTGCTCCTGGGACACCCAAACTGTTGGGTGTCTCCCAGCCAGGTGCTGAGACACAGCGACGCGTCCTCCCTCCTCTCCAGACGGCGCTGCTGAGTCCCCAGCTGCCAGCCCAGCTCCTGGCACTGCCCACCCTGCCCAGCCCCTTTCAGCAGCCCCTACCCGGGAGCCCAGCCCGTTGGCCATGCCGCTGGCACTCCTCCTCAGCATCCCTGTTGTGGGCACCACCTCCTCCTCCGTCGGGGATTTGGTTCGGGGCGGCACAATGCCCACTGCAGGACAAAGCAAAACACGGAGCTGAGCCCCTCTGGGGATGCAGAGCAGAGTCCCGGTCATGCACAGAGCTGACAGAGAGCTGCAACGTGTTGTACAAATGCTTCCCGCGGCCAGGGCAGCTCAGTGAGTCTGTTGGAGGGGACCCTCTGGGTGGCACCTACCTTTGTTGAGGGCAGCTTGTTTTTCTGCCTCCTGCTCCTGCCGGCTCAGCAGCCCCTCAGCAGTGGAGCTGGGGGCAGCCGCTCGCTGCGTCTCCTTCTTGCTTTGCTCCAAGCTTGGTTTGGGCTGTGGGGAGAAAGTGAGTCTGTGATGAAGCTCTGCTCTGCTGGGTGGCCACACAAACTGCCTGGGCACAGCATGCTGCCATGGGTTGGCACACAGCCTCAGGAGCAGGTGGACAGACAGACACTTGTCTAAGCAGTCTCTGTGCTCCCCAAATGAGCTCCACCAGTGGGGACATGGGCTATGAGGGCTCTGCAGCTCTCACCCAAACCCATTGGGGCCAGGCACTTAACGCTGTACTGGTGACGCAGTTCTGTGTGGGACAAGCTGTCTACAGGGGGACAGTCCTGACATGGCTCAGAGGTGGTACCCAAGAGCTGCAGGATGGAGGTGCCCAGTGTTGAGCTCCAGCCCCTGTGTGCAGGAGGGAACGGGGCTCTGTAGGACAGCAGACAGCAGCAGGGAGCAAGCCAAGTCTGCTTTCAGAGTCCTGCCTGGTAACAGTGCAACAGATCCAGCATGATGGAGGGGGTCAGGGAGAGGCTGAAGAATGCAGTGTGACCCCACACCGCTGTCCTGTACTCTGCATAGAGATGATGTACTCCAACAACCCTTTACACCACACAGACAACACAACCATGACTGTGGTTACTCTGTGGTTGCATGGACGCTGGAGGTGCTCCTTGCACAAGCAAACATTCCCTGTTTTCACAGCCCCACATGCATGCATCCTGAGCCCCTCTCAGGACCACCAAGTTGCAGGAATGCTTCTGTCTTCCAGAGTACAAACATGGTCTCATTCCCAGGCTGAGATGTCACCAGAGATCCTTAGTGTACTCATGTAATCACCCCAGGCCAGCTGAGCTCCTGGCACAGTGGGGAGTGAAAGAACAGCAAGAGAGGACAGGGCAGAGGAAAGTAGAGAGGCTGCAGCAGATTTGCATCTCGACAACTGCCCAGGAGAAGCCTGTCCCTGTCCTGAGCATGTGTACCAGCACCGGGGACTTGGAGAGGACATGGCGAAGCCACCATGGGGACCCTGCCCACTGTGCCCCTTAGAAAGGCAGTGCCACGTGCTGCTGTCGCCCGAGCATCACCTTTGTGGGCAGCCCCATCCTCTGGTACCAGCCTCTGAGGAGGGAGGAAGGGAGAGATGGAGGGAAGGGACGCTTTTTAGGACTGCCTTGGAGAGGTTCTGGTACCTGTCCCCTCTGCGACTCGCCGCCTCGCTGCCAGGAAGGGGAGGTGGGGTACGGCCAGGGGCGGCTCTCGCTAGGGAGTGGAGGTACGGTCGGAGGAGGCTCCAGGGGGATGTACGACTTGGGGAGGGGAGGTCGAGGCGGGCCGGGTTCCTGGGGTGGAGAGGAGCATTGAGGCGTGAGAGCAGAGAAACTAAGAGATGGGAAGGAAAAGAGAGTTAGAAAGAGACCGAGACAAAACACAGTGAAAGGCCAGGGCAGGAGGAGGAAGCGCAGCGGTTGCTGCCTGCCGGGTTTCCTCATGCACAGGGGGATGTTTCCCACCTCCCAGTAGGGTCAGGCAGGGCTTGGAGCTGTCAGCCCCCAGGAGACAATCAGCATTGCTTGGCACAGCTGTGGGGAGTCCCCACATTCCACCCTCAACTTCACAAGGATGTGGGTGAGCTCAGCACTGCCGGACCTTGAGCAAAAAGAGCTGAGCAAGTCTTGGTGTAGGACCCCAGAGATTGCAATACCTTGTGAGGAACACAGACTCAGACCCTGCAGCCTCCCATGTGCCCATCCATCACCTGAGAGCAAGGAGGCTGGGCCAACCCATGAGCAAAGTGACAAGGAAGGACCTGATGGAGACAAAGGGCTCCCCAAGCACATCCTGGCTCACTCACCTCGCTGGGACCTGGCTTGGTGGGCGAGCCCTGGGAGCCAGAGATGAGGGAGAAGGGGCTGAGGGGGCTGGTGAGGCTGGCGGAGCTCAGTGGGCTGGCAGGGCTGTTGGAGCTGTAGGTGCCCGAGGGGCCGATGGCCACTGCAGAGAAAAGCAGAAATAAGTGCATGCACCATGGCACAGTGCCTTCAAAAGTGCTGTCACCAGGGATGTGTCATGCTGGGCTTTGTGCCATGCTGGGACGGAGCCATCTCACCTCTGTGCTTAGCAGTGTCGGTGCCGCGGGATGGATTGTTCTTCCTCAGCCCCTCCATCACATCCTGGATCCGCCAAATCTCCTTCTGGATCTGTCGGTTCAGCATTTCATTCTGTGAAGAGGGAGAAAGGCAGCGGTCAGAGCAGCCCCCGCTGCCACCAGCCCAACACCCAGCCCTGTGCCTCCCATCCTGGCTGCATCCCAGTGATGGGGCCTGGGGTGTTCAGCTGGGACAGACACAGCCCGAGGGGGGGCTGAGCCATCACACCCACAGCTCAAATCCCACAGGGAGCTGCAGGCTGGGGTGGAGCTGGTGGAGCCCCCCGGCCCCCGTGCAGCCCCTCATCAGCACCCAAGGCAAAACACCCTCCTCAGCACCTGCGTGCTGCTAGGCAAGGTCAAAGCAGGACGCTGAGCACCAGCAGCTGCTTGCAAATTAGCTCTCAGCAGAGGAACCAGGTGGCTTCCACCTGCATGGGACTGGGGACAAGGTGGGATGCTCACTTGGATATCCAGGTTCAGCTGCTCCCAGAGGTCATCGTGCAGGGCGGACACCTCGCTCTCCAGGGTCTCATACTCAGCTGTGCTGTTGGCCAAGGCCTGTGGAAGGAGTTAGGGGGATTGGGTTGGTGGATTTGCCCCCCAGTGCAAGCTCTGTTGGCTGCTCCATGCATTAGGGATGGATGGGTGGGGATAGGGAATGCAGAGCAGCACCATTACCGTGCTGGCCTGTGACAGCTCCACGCGGATGTTGATGAGCTGGTTCTGCAGAGACTCCTTCTTATGCAGCAGCTTCTCAGGGTAGGCAGGCTGGCTCCCAAACATCTCCAGCTCCTGGTGTGTCCCCATCAGGGCACTCTCCAGACTCTCCTGAGGAGAACAAGAGGTGCTGCAGCTGTGAGCATCCTGGTGCAGGATGTAGCTTTCTCCCTTCTTAATGGGCCATGAATGCATGGGGCCACGACGTGAGCACATCTCCCCCAGCCCACAGATGAACGCCAGGAAAGCAGGACACGCCACTTCCTTGCCATCCCCATTGCCTTGCAGTGGGGTTTATCCCCAAATGCACTCAGCCCTGGGGCACTTGGTGTTGCAGCAGCATCATGCAGAACCATGCGCACCACGAACCTTCTCTGCTCGGAGCTGCTGCACCAGCCTCTCCTGCTCCCGCAGCACTTTGTTCTGCTCACAGAGCTTCCCCAGCAGCTTCTGTTCCCGGCAAGAAAAAGAGAAAGGGAAGGGTGAGAACCCAGAAATGGGGTGTGGGATGCTCCAGGCACCTGTGCAAACAGATCTGTGCTCAACCAGGGCCAAGAGGAGGGACAAGAGTGGGCTGATCTCTCTCTAGGAGAGATAGGATGCAGCCAGGCCACAGAACATGACACTGGTTGGATGGGACAACGTGTGGGTTTCAGCCTACAGGAAACAGGACACACAGGGACAGAGGCAATTGCACAGGACAGACTGAGAACACGCAGCACAGACATTTGCTCTTACATCAGTGTCTTGCTCGCTTATCTTGTAGGCATGCAGGGTCTCCCTGTAGGCTTCTGGGAAAGGCGTCGTCACCTGCAAGCAGAGCACGGGGTCAGCTCAGCTCCGGGGTCTCAGGGGCTGCCAGGAACCCTGCAGGGAGGAGCAGCCCCTCTGACCCAGCCCTGGGAAGCCCCAGTGCCAGCCCCAGTGCCATGGGCTGGGTGAGCAGCACCGAGCCAAGCTCTCTGCCTGACGCCAAGAGATGTCTCGTGACTCATTAACTGCCTGCCGTACAACTGCCACTGTTCCACGGGCAGGGAAATGAAGGCAGCAAGATTAAGCTGTAATCCCACTGAGTGGAGTCAGAGCGCCCATAAATCAGCTGCTGCATCAGGACCTGTTTACCATCCAGCTTCTCTGTGAGTCATTTGCCTTTCCTGGAAATTTAAATTACTAATGGGACCTCACCAATTAAATGCCTCCAAGACCTCGAGATGAAAGGCATAAGATAGGAAGAAGGAGATCATTATTGCTAGAAAGCTAGATGCTACTTCAGAGTGATTTAAAACCACAGGACAATGCTTAACAGACCCGAACCTGGGAAATGCCAGAGCCTGGTGGATGCAGATTCTACACAGAGCAACCAAGGCATCACAACAGCTCCAGCTTCACCCTGAGGCACAGCCCTGCTGCTCAGGGATAGGACCACACACCCTCCCCTCCTCATGGGGCATCAGCACTCTGTGCTGCACCCATCAGCACAGATGTCCCCAGGCATTTGCAGTCTCTCCCATCTCCAGGAGATGGGATGTGCATGGGCTGCTTCCTCTCTCTGATGTTTCTTTGGTTGCAGATCCTTGGCTGGGCTCCTCCAGATCCACCTTCTGGTCACATTGATACACAAAAGCGTCCGAAAACAGATGCAGAGCTCAGGACCTCTGCTTTCCCACCTTGTGCTCACAGGACCACAAGGATTTACAGGGCTGGAATGGCTCATGGATGGATTTAGCAAAGCCTGGGATGGACGAGCGGGACCCCCAGAGCGTGATGTGTGCCAGCACTGCACGAATGCTGGAGTTTGCATGAGCTGAATGGCAGGAGGTGACCTCAGGGATGGCATGGGGCGGTTGGCGTGGCCTGCCATGCACTGGCATTAGCAAGGCTTACTTGCATGTAGAGCTGAGCCCTAGGGGAGGAGCTCTCCACCATCCTGTTCACCATACTGATCAGGGTTTCACTCTCGCTCATCTGCGACAGACAGGGAAGGAAATGTCAGAGGTCAGCGGAGAGGTGAGGGCGCAGTGCTGGCCAGGAACCCTCAGGGCATTGTGCTGCAAGGTGCCACCTCCAAGAGATGTCCCAAGGGCTCGAGCCACCAGCAGACAGCTGTCCCAGGCTGAGAGCATCCCAGGAGCTGAAAGCTTCGTTGGGGATGAAAACAAATTGAACCCAGGGCAGCAAACCGCATGCACAGACACAAGTTTGCACAATGCCCACTGTTTGCAACACACTGCATGGCCCCAGCAGACAGACAGACAGGTCAGGCCGACAAACAGCTCTGTGTCCTGCCCTCGTAGCAGAGGGATGGCCCTGCTCAGGTGGGGATGGGGACAGCTGTGTCCCCCATTTCAGCTTGGTGGCTTCAAGCAGCAGAGCTGGGTGCTCCCGTGGGGATGTGTTACATGGGAGTGCTGCAGACAGAGGCGACGATGCCCTCGCAGCACAGATCCAGGAGCAGAGCTCGCTGGGGACCAGCACCAATTGGGGTGCAGCCAAGGGAGCCGACCGGTGACACATCACAGCTCTCTGGATAAACGCGGAGAGTGCAAATAAAGCAGTGAATTGTTTTCAAAGAGCTACTTGGCAGCACTGCCCTGAATTAGAGGTCAGCAGGAGAGGAGGAGGAGATGGAAAGCCTTTTTAGGGAGCATTTTAAAGTGCTTCGGTGAGGGAGCGTTGCCGCCGACGGCATTGAAATAATCCAGAGAGTTTTTATTGCACCGAGTGCTCCTGCGTGTCCCTGGCTCTGCTCCAAGGCAGATGCAGATCTGGGTGATTGCTGCACCGATGGGGATTCACAGACTAATGAGATTGTACTGGAGCAGCTCCCTCAGTGCAAACCCAGCTCCTGCAACGAGCACCAGGCGGCAGCAACAGCCGATGGCTGCAGACCCCGCATTGGCGGCAGCTGGTGCCGGCAATTCCCACCCCACCACTCCCACAGCTGGTCCCCAAGGCTCTCCCTCACCCTGCTCCCAGAATGAGGTCAGCTCCCGGCTTTCCTCCAAACACCCCACAGCATGCCAAGCTTCAGAGCTGTCACTTTAGGGCCGGTCACCCAATCCCAGCTCTGCATCCCACCTCTAGCCTTGGAGGATGCGCACGGTGAGCTTATCACCAAAGCACAGTGCTTGTCTTCCTCCCCCCTGCAGCACAGGGTGGATGCTGGGCAAGCCCCCAGCACCTCCGTGCCTACAGTTGCCATGTGCTGTGCCCAGTCCTGGGCCACCATTTCTGATGCTGTAGGCACCCCCAGACCCAGGGATGTCCCCCCATTGCCCCTCAGCTCCAGCACACCACACAGAAGACACTGTCGGGGGTGGTTTTCTGCCAAGCAATGAACAACCCTACGGAGGGGGAGGATGGAGGAAGCAAACCAAAGATGACACGTGCTGCTTTAGTGCCAAGAAGGGTGAGGATGGATGTTAGGGGACGAGATGCTGCACTGGGAGGGACGGGGACGCTGCTGGGGATGAGGCACATGGGGATGTAAGCAGCGTGAGGCTTGCAGCCAGCTCTGCCTACCTGCTGGTCCAAATACTCTAGGTTTCTTTGCAACTGAAGGTCTAAAAGTTCATCCTACCCGGAGCCAGCAGGCATGCGGCAAGAAACGAACACACAAAACATATAAAAGAAGAAGCAAAGCGGTTAGGTGAAGGCTGCAGAAATGCAAAGACCCCTTGGCTGGGGAAGCAAAGTGCCACCTCCTCTGCCCAAAGCGAGGAGGGCTGCAGATGGTGCAGGTCCCTCTCCCTATGCTGGGTCTTTGTTCGCTGTCCCTACATCTCTTGCTGGTGAGGATGGATGGCAGCATGGACAGCTGATGAAAATTTTTGCTTCTCCCTCCTGCAGTGGCTGCTCCTGACATGAAGTTTCAGGGGCTGTGCTGCACTGTGTGGACCTGCAGGTCCAGCTCCACGATCGAGGAGAAAAAACACCATCCAGGGACAAGCAGCAGCAGCAGCCCAAAGTGAGATACAAGGAGAGCAGAGGTGCAGGGAGCACGCCAGCCTCACCCCAGCCCCGGGGGAGCAGTGACAAGATGGGCATTGCAGAGCATAGGGGGGTGCAAGGGTGCTTCAGTGCACCTTCAACCCCAGCACAGGGTCAGGGGCTTTCATAAAGCATGGCCAGGAGGGACCAGAGGCATCAGTCCGAGCTCCACAGTCCCAACTTGCCCCATTGCAACCCATCTCCAACCCTCCGGAGCAGCCGTTTCCTTCTGATCCATCCAAGGCAGGGTGAGCTGTGCCCCACAACAGACCCTGCACCCCATCCCATGGGGCTGAAGGCAGCGAGGAGCACATGGCTGTGAACCCCCTGGCTGTGAGCCCCCCCAGCTCGGCCCATTGACACTGACAGCATACGTACCATCTTGTCGTGGACCGTGGGGGATGCGGGGTAGTGGTAGGGGTACATTCCTGCAGGGATGGGCCGCCTGTCACCCAGGTAGTCGTACTGAGGAGAGAGGAGACCACCATCAAACCCCATGGACAGGTGAGGGGTACGTGGTATCTCCCTGTATCCCCTCTTTTCTATGCTGCACTGCTGCAAATTGAAGCAGATTGCTTCCCTCTGCGCAGAGCCAAGCCATGCAGCAGGGTCAGGGCTGGCTTTTAGCGGTGCAGCAGACATACAGGAGCATCAGCACACCCCACTTGGGACTGCCTTGCTCATAGAGGTCCTAAGAGAGGACATAAAGCTGCACACCAAGGACTTGGTGGCACCTCGAGGCCAACACATGCACGCAGAGGGGACAAGCTGCGCTGCATCATCCCCACCCTACAGCCCTCAACCAGGTTCCCCTCCACCCCGGCACACGCCAGCGCTTACCTTGGGAGAACTGATGGATCTCCTCATCATGAAGGTGCCGGGGTCGACATAAATCTCCTCTCCACGGGGCGGCAGCCGCTCGAAGCGAGCGCTGGGAGAGCGCACCGGGGAGTAGACCCGCGTGTGGCTGTAGGATCCCTGGCTGGGCGAGCGGGGCACGGAGCGGGAGCGGGGCTGCAGCGACATCCTCCGCAGCGACCCCGAGGCAGCATCCACCTCATCGAAATAAGTCGGCTGCCTACCAGGGAGCCAGACCGGGACATCCTGCCGGCCGAAGCCGGGGTGCTCCTTCCATTCCTGGAGCTGGTAGGGGCCCCCGTTGCGGAAGGAATGCCGCTTGTTGTTGTCCAATGCCCAGGGAGGGCTGACCCGCTCGTAGGCGGGCATGGAGCAGATGCTGTCGGGGCGCACGCCGGGTGGGTAGTACTGATAGTCCTCAGGGTACTGGGGTGAGTAGGGAGGGTAGTAGTCAGGCACCCGGCGAGATACGGGGTAAAACCTGGTGGGGCTGGAAGAGAGGAGTGAGAACTGAGTGGTCACAATAGGCAAGGACACCCTTAGAGCAAGCAGCGTTGGGAAAGCTGACTGGTGTCCCTCATCCTGGGGTGATCCCCTCCAAAACCCACCCTGCTTGCTTTTTGGGGTATCCTACAGTTTGGAGCCAACATGATTTGCAGACACCCAAAAAGGGATATAATAGGTGGGAAAAGGCCAAATATTCCCAGAACATCATCCTGGAGAAAAGGAGAACATCCAGAGCCCCCACCGGACCTCTCAGCCCTTACCTGCGCAGCTCCTCGGGGGGCACGTTGCCCCGGCGCAGGTTCACCCACTGCTGCAGCTGCGTCATGGAGCTCTTACGCTGCGCGATTTTCTCGGGGTTGGTGCGGGGGGCGAAGCTGCGGCGATGGGCAGCGCTCTCCCCATCGGGTGGGGGGTAGGCGGTGCTGCCAGGGCGGCTGGGGGACGTGTAGGGCCAACCGTTGGGTTGGGGCGGCCGCTCTGTGCTCGTCGGCACCCGCGGTGCTTCGGGGTAAGGGCTGCCGGGCTCAGAGGGTATCTCTTGCCCGGCGATGCCGTTGGCTTTGGCCAAGGGTTCCTTCTTGCTCTCCATCCTCTCTGGTTTCCTCTCGAGTTTCTCTGAGCCACGGCCGTCGCCTTCACCCCGGGTCTTGGCGCTGGGGTCAGCTTTGGGGTGCTCGTGGTGCACGGTATTACGATGGTGGTGGTGGTGTTTGCTGGGGGGGATGTTCTCAGAATCCGTCTTCTCGTGTCTGGAGGGCAAGGAGATGAAAGCAGAGCATTACCTTCCCTTCATAACGCCCTCAGGATGGCCGTCAACATCCCAACCCTCTTCCCACAGCCTCAGCGGGATGCTGACGCTCCCCAGTTCCATTCTGCTCCCATGCCCCCCCACCCCATTCCCAAGAGGCAGAGGAGCGTCTCCAGCCCTGTGCGACAGGGACAACGCTCTGACCTCTGGGTTGGGGGGATCTGCACCCGGGCAGCTTCGCCCATGGCTTGGATCCAGGATTCCTGCTCTTCTGTGTTCTCAGCACTGAAGAAGTACGTCCGGATGCCGGCGTGCTCGGCCTGGGGAGACAGGGACTGTTCGTTACTCGCCGGCACCTCCTCCACCCAGCACACCGTCACCTGCAGGAAGGCAGAGAAGTGGGGAGAGAGACAGACAGGAGGTGTGAGAGCTCCATCTCCTGCTTGGCAAGAGCTCCTGGTGCTGCAGTGCTCCATTCTTCCCCCCCCCAGGAGTATCCTCACAGCACTGGGTGGGACGAAAGCTCACTGTGATGCCCTCACCCCCAGCCAGTCCAAGTGTTATCTATCCTTCATGCAGGATGAGGGGGAAGGTGGCTTCTTGATTCAGACAATGTTTTAGGGGGAAAAAGTTCACTTTGGGTTCATTTTCCATACCCACAGCCCACCCTGTGCTGTAGGCAGAGTTGGTTGCCCTGGGCCTTTTTGAAGCAACCACCTTCCCCCTCTCTGGAGAGGAATGGGAGGCAACAAGGAGGAAGAAATGGAAAAAAAAAAAAAGCAGATTTTTCCTCCTGAAAGACCTTCAGGGTTCAATTTTTATCATTTTAATTAACCAAATTCCCTTGGGTTTCCATTTGTGGTTTCCACTTGGGGACAGGGACACCTCCTGCCTGGTCCCTCCAGCCCTCGTAGAGCTCGAGAGCTTTGAACGAGAGCTCAAACCAAACCAATTCCTCCCCAGGTTAGTGGGAGCGGGGTGAGCAAAGCATGCAGCCCCTCACCCTCTGCATGCACCCATAACACAAGCCGATGTACCTATGCTGGGTGCTGGCGTGGCTGACGGGAGCGCGGAGACCTCCTGCCCTGGGGGATCCTCGCCCACGGAGAGAGGAGGAAACACAGAGATGGGGTCAAAGCGCAGCGGGGGGAGCGCGGGCGCAGCCCTCGCTTTGCTTTGGGGACTGCTCAGCCCTGGAGGTGGATGGGGATCACTGTGACACCGCAGCTTTGGGACGTTCGGGTGTGTTGAGCATGGTGGGAGGGTCCCCAGGAATCAGTGAACCACAGCGTGGTTGGGTTGGGGGGGACTTAAGATCATCCATGCTATGGGCAGGCTGCTACCCACAGCTCAGGCTGCCCAGGGTTCCATCCATGATATCGGGCACCTCCAGGGATGGGACAAAACCATCCATGGGCACCCCCAAGTGTACACAAAAACACAGCTCCTCATCCTTAGAGCTCAGCTGGTGAATATCAGCCCTCCAGGGCTCCTCTCCAACCACATCACAGACCACTGCTGGGTCATTGCTCTGCTCCCAACACAGACAGACAGACAGACACAGCTTTCTGAGCATGGGCACGAGGTAATCACTGCTTGCAAGCACTCACCCTAAGCCATGCTTGCTCTGGCTTTCAGGGTGACAGCTACAAAAATGTGCCCTTCAAATTGCAAAAGCATCCCCACAATGAACTTAGAGCAGTGCTTGAGGTGTTGGAGCCCACAGCTGGCAATGTGCATTGCTCATGGATGGGAAACCCCATGTGCAGAGGTGAGGGCTGCAGTGCCCTAACCCCAGCTCCAGCACTGGGGGTTGGCTCAGTATTTCTAGTGATGGATGGGTCTGTCTGGGTGCACACACACTGAGGGAGTGCAGAGGTGCAGGAATGGGTCTGTGGAGCTCACGAGCAAGAAAGTGTGAGCTTGGCTTTGCACAAGTCAGGCTGTGCATCAAGGCAGCAAGGAGGTGCTCAGAAACCATGGCAGTAGGGGTGGCAGTGCCCCAAGGTGCACACTGGTACCCACCAGTGCTGTGTGAGCGCCACTGAGCATTGTGTGGAGGGGACAGATGGGGTCTGCTCAGGGACAAATGTGGGACAGCCATCCTCTGCCTTCCAGCTCTCCCCTCCTACATCCACTGCAGGGAGGGCTGATGAGCAGCAACTAATGCACCAGTCAAAGCAAGCCAAAAAAAAATGGAGCTGGGGATGCTCTGTGCCTGATAGAGAGAGCTCTGCTGAGAAATGCCACTGGAATGGGCAGGATGGGAGCAGGGCTTGGAGGGGAAAGCATTCCCAGCCCACACAGTGGGAGGTGAAGCCGCTTTGCCCCCTTCATGCCTCAGTTTCCCCAGCACATCCCAGGGGATTCCGGCAGTTCCCCTCTCCACAGCTGGGCTCTGCTCCACGCCCCACCACCAAGAAAGCGAGAGGAGGGCACAGCAGGGATCCCACCAGCATCAGCCCCCCTCTCCCCCAAGCCCCACATGGCCCCACACTCACCTTAAAGGTGTGCTTCCTGCTGATGTTGTCAGAGGGCTGCACGGCTGCCACGCGGAAGCTGAGCAGGGGGATGCTGCCCAGGATGCTTTCCTCCTTCTCATCTGGTGGGCAAACAGGGGCATTTAGAGGCAAGGTGGGACCCAGCAGGCACGCATGGTGAGCAGCCCACCTGTGGCAATGCGCTGCCTTCCTGTTGCTTCGCCCTCCCCTGCAAGCAGTGCCGCTGCTCGGCACGCCAACCTGCTCAATAATTCATGCTCGCCCTCGGCTGCCAAGGAGAGCTGAGCTGAGTGAGCTGCCAGGAGGCGGGCGAAGGGCATTAACCCCTCAGTGCCCCAGCATGGTGAGCACCCACAGGAGCAAGCACCCATAAACGTGAGCACCCGCAAAAAAGCAAGCAGCTGCAAAGAGCAGAAACACCTGCAAAAAGCACAAACACCCACAAAAGCACGCAGCCACGAAAAGCAAGCACCTGCCGAAGCAAAAACACTCACAAAAGCACCCACAAAAGTGAGCACCCACAAAAGTGAGCACTTGCAAAAAAGAAGAACACCCACAAACGTGGTACCTTTGTAGTAGAAGAGGCAGCGGTCCACCAGCACGAACCAGCGCTTGTTCCACTGCTTCACCCCCGAGCTGGCCTGCAAGAGAGTAGCAGTGAGACGCTGGCAGCACGCAGCCATCGGGAGGAGCAGCCATCGGGAGGAGCACTGCCTCGGGATGGAGCACGGCGGGGCTGGGGCACCTGCTTGTAAAGCCAACCGCTCTTGGTGACGGCGGCGTTGGGGTTTCTCTTCATGGAGTTGGAGCGCTTCCCGAAGGCGATGCCCTTACGGGAGGAGCGCGACGCCTGCAGAGGAGGAGAGGGTGAGCTCAGTGCCCGGGGGGGACCCACGCTTCCCGTCTGCTCCGTCGTTGCCCTCTGTGCCACGTGGACACGGGCACGCACCCGGCCTCCAGGCCGCTCCGGAGCCACCTCTGTCACCATGGTGTGGTTGGAGGGTTCGCTGCTGTTGCTGCTGTTCGCCGGGCGCTTGCTGCCTGCTTTGCTTGACATGTCCAAGGTCGGCCTGTTGGCATAGATGGGGCTGTCGGTATGGCTGCGTTCCCACATTCCCCTCTCTCCCCAGGCGATGTTTCCCTATCCCTCAGCCCACCCTGGTCCTGAAACCAAACGGAGGTGGGACCCAACCTACTTTTGCAAGTCTAATCTTGAGTTTTCTTCTGGGAGCTGTCCTGTCACTGGGTGCAGGAAGGTGTTCCGCCTTTCATTGTGGCTGCAAGACACAACGCAGTGGGCTCTGTTAGCACCCAGGAAGGGGGAGGATGGGGTCCAAGGGTGCACAGAAACCCAGTGAGATGCTGCCCACCCTCCTGTGCAAAGCAGAGAGCTCCATCCGTCCCTGCTCGCTCCCCAAATCCCTTTGCTTTTAGCACCGTTCTGCTGCTCCAGCACCAGAGCTTTGTTGCGCTTCTTGCACCATTTGCACCGCCTTTCACCTGCGCTTCCCAGATTGCATTCATCTCGCCAAGAGCCGGAATGAGGTCTCTGCCAGCTGAGACCTCATTACTTCTGCTGGACACATCACACAGCAGCGGCTGTCGCGTGGTGAGACATTTCCATAACCCCCCCCAGCTGTCAGAATAAATCGCTGCAGGAGCAGCAGCCGAGGCTCAGCCTGGGCTGAGCTGAAAGCATCAACGCCAACGTCACATCCTCTGCTTGGGCTCGCTGGTTTCAGGGCTATTTGCCACAGTGCCAGGGTCACAAAGCACCTGGCCCCACTGCTGGTGGGGGAGAAGGGGGCTCTCAGTAGATCCCCAGGTGGGGTTTTGGCAGCCAGCTGAGCCCAAAATGCAGCAGATGCCTCAAGTTGGGTGAGGGCTGCCACATTCATCCTGGAAAGTTTGCTTTGCAACAGGGGGGTGCAAATGACCCCCTCTTGGCGACAGTCCCCCAAAACTGCTGGGCATGGGGACACAGCTGCCTATGACCACCCACGAAGACAGCGTGCAAACAGCCCGTCATGCTGCCCAAGAGCTGAGTGTCAGCAAAACAGGGGAAGTTTGAGCAAGAAAACATCTGCCAAGACCATCCCATCCATGCACGCTTCACCCCGAGGCTGGGCTGCAGCCAGGCTCAGGGATAGCCACTGCTTTCTGCCAAAAAGAGCCCTGCTGGGAGCTGCCCCCATGCAGGTCCCACCCTGGTCCTGAACCCAGCTCTGCTCTCCCCTTTGCTGGGCATTATCCTAAAAATCTGCAACCTGCAGCGAGGGGCAGCACCTGCTCCCCTGGCACCGGGTTTTTCTGTGCTGCCAGCGCATCTGATGTGAGTCCTCTGCAGAGGCAGCGTCCCCAACCTCTGCTCCCAGCTCGGAAGGCACCAAAGGGGCTTTCTGCCACTGTTTGTCCCCAGTTTGGAGAGCCACAGCATGGCAGTGACAGGGCAGCTCACGATGCTGACACAGAGGGTGCATGCAGTGAGCAAGCAGCACCCTGATCCTCAGCCCTGCATAGTAGGGGCTGCCCTGAGTCACCGGTACCACCAAGCCTCCACTGAGCACAACCCCCAGATCCCCCAGGTCCCCAGCCCTGCCCGCCACCTGCACACTGCTGTGGGTTTCTCTGCCCAAAGGCTGAGCTCTGCCCCAGGCCAAGCTGCCTACCCAGCATCACAGCCCCTGTGCCTCCTCCCGGCACCAACCCAGGCACTCACGCTCCCTCCCTGTGCCGTTCCCACCCCCAGGCCTCAGAAACATGAGAGAAGCTCCTTAACCCCCCCCAGAACCATCTGTCTCGGCTGACCCTGCTCCAGAAACTCCGAGTTCACATCGCCTCCCAAGCACTGCAATGCAGCAGTCCCTACCCTGGCTGAGGGTCCCCAGCCACCGCCACCACCTCCCTACCACCCGACCTCCCCCTGCCCACCCCGGCGGTTCCTACCTCACCCTCCGATCCGCCCGAAACTTCAGCATGATGCCGTGGCCCTCCGAGCTCAGCGCCGGCTGCCGGCTCCCACCATGGCAGCAGCGGGCAAGGCAGGTCCCGTGCCACCCAGCGACCGCTTATGCCCCACGTGCCACGGGCGCGGCGGTGCCGCACGGGCAGGGGGACACCGGCAGCGCTCGGTGGGGCTCGGTGTCCTTTCCCAGCTGCGCCAATCCGCGCCGGTGGCATCGGTGTTTCCCAATGTGGCAGCGGTGGAGCTCAGAGAGCGGCTCCCGCGGGCGCTGGCAGCCCCGATGCGGTGCGGCTTGGCGAGGCGGCAAAGCGGGGACAAGCTTGCGGCTCCCGTTCGCGTCCCCAAGCAGAGGAGAAGCGAAGGGCAGCGCAGAGCTCGCCGCCTCCCCCCCCCCCCCCGCCCCGAGGCTGCCAGCGCCCGGGGGGGGGGGTGGGGGGGCGCCAGGGGGGGGGGGGGGG